GGACGAGATTGCCGATCCGGGGCACCACTCCGTGGCCTGGGCTGTGATCGGGGATGGGAGCACTCCGTCGTGAAAGGCGAATTATTTTAGGAACATGCCTTTTTTTTATTCCTTGTAGAGGATGAGCCGACGTTGTAGGCTAATTGAGTCTAGACACTGGGTGGGGATGGGCTGACCACGCCGTTGTTTCTTGGTGCCGACATGGCGGAAGTTGGAGGATCAACCTAAAGAAGAGACGAGAATAATTGGGGGTGGATTAGCCACATCACGACGTGCGTAAAGCGATCGCGTTTCCCGGTCAGATGGGATCAGAAAAGGCCCGATAATTCGATCCAGAGAGAGATTGGAGATGGAGGCGCATGAAGAATGAGAGATGGAATCCTGGATTGAAGAATGCAGGCGGAGCCAGAAACGGACTAGCGCGGTGAGCCACGGGACCGGGCGCCTCTCTCCTGTGGCTGGAATGGCAAAGCCCATCGGCATGGGCTGAGCCCCCCTGGCGACGACTATCTTAGTAGTAATCCCATCCTCCCCAAGCCGCTATACCCTAGCTGGCTTGGCTTATATTAAGTTTTCTAGTGTCTACCGATCCTGCCGTTCTATGCGATACAGATTCCAGTCGAATGATTGACCTATGGCTTTCCCCATAACCCGCGATGCTAACTTGGTAGTTATTCCATGGGCCGCTGGTAAAACATTGATCTCTGTCCAATCCAAGCCCTTGAGGCAATGTCCGCGCGGTCTATTGTCCACCGCTTAAGCATTCATCAGGAACTGTGTGACGAAGTATAAGCTTACGTATATTTCAAGTTGAAGTTGGCTTTTAAAGACCAAGGTCAGCCTCACAATCCCTTACGTGCATGGCTTTCGTTGTCATTTCGACCGATTCCCGTCGCACAAATTGGACCATCACAGTCATATCTTCGGTTCATTTTCTGAGAGAACCTGATAGAAGGAAATTCCAAGTAGCCACCCAGAGACATACGATTGTTTGTTTCTTTGGTGCAACATTGCTTACATCACGTCAAGCCGTCGGTCCTTGCATCGAAAGCACAACCTGAGCAGTTGGACCTCCAATCCTGCTAGGACTTACTTTGCTAGACGGTGAGTGACAAGACATATCTGTAAGGGCCAGTTGCCATAGGCTCAAGAAACTCTTCCACGCAATTAGCCGCACGTGCATGCCCTCGATGAAAATTTTCCATGCGCCTTTGGATCCGCATGAGCGTGTCATTTGCCCCGTCGCCTAGCCCCATCTGTCTAGACTTGTCTCCACAACAGTGCGTCCCTCTATGAAAGACTTGTAGTACATGGTCAGAGGAACCTGGTCTTGGGAATTCGCCCTCCGTGTGATATTTATAAATATGGCTGCCTGGTTCGAAATAGGTCTCGGAAACTCATCGCAAGACAAGCGCCTGAGACTCTGTTCATGGCGCATTAGGACGGCGGGTAAGTGAAAATGATCCAGAGACAAACCCGTTGGTACAAATTTTGGATACTAACATGTAGTGCACCATGATAGGTGGGCCCGGTCGGAGAAGGTGGCTTGCGAATTCATCTTTCACTAATTCTGCGAGAAGACACACAGACTCATTGTTGTGAACTCACCGTCGGTGCGGCTGAAGGAATACGGTGTCCTCAAGGTTGACATTCCGTCAAGTGTAATTCGCAGACTGGTAGCTCAGGAACAGTTGAGCACTGAATTCTAAATGGGGTTGGCCCTAGCAGTAATGGATGACAGGCGGATTGTCGATTTCTGAATAACTTCCTGATCATGCGCGGGGATCTAGGCAAGGAACAACTGTATCACCCATTCTCATCACTTGGGTAATGAAGAGCGGAGTGGCCATAACGGCCATAATAAAATTCCCGAGAGCATGACAGTGAGCTATAGCAGCTAAGCAACCATCCTTTCTGCAAGGGTCAGCAGCATGCTCGCTGATCTGTGATACAGAGATGAATAGTTCTCTCCGCCGTTCTTCCTTCTGCTTCAATGGTCTGACTTGCGAGGCGATCCTAAATCCGCGAGAGAGATGTCCGGTGACCCAGAAGCATCATCCGTGATGTGTCAATCAGACTAGCTATGTTCTTTAAAATCATGGCAGTAATGTAAGCCACATTCCCGTAAAGCAGCCATTACCTCATCTCCATACACAAGACTGGAGAGCGCTCTCCACATCACGGCGGCTGAACCCCGGCGTCCACCCAAGACATATTGCATTTGCGGATAGTGCTACCAATAAGTGAGTATTGAGAATCGAGAAGCAAGGAGCGAAATGGAACCATACCCTGTATGAAACGTGCCGCATTAATCGCTGTTCCCTTGAGACAATGACGCGCGGGATCCATGGGAGGATATGTGAGAAGATGTACATCATGCTCCCTCAAGTATCCTTCCAGGTCGCCCATATCAAACCAGTCCCCTTGAAGCTTGGTCTGTATATGTTGCGGGAAGTGTGATACTGATCGCACGGAAACCCACCGCACTCCAGGCCGGAATGGACGATCAGCTGCTTTGCTCCTCAGGGAAGACCGAGAGTAATGGGTTCCTGCGCCCCCCAGACTGAAGAAGGGTACCTCGTCCCACTCCGCAAAATACTTTCGACTCTCTTTCTCATTCAGCGCGGCTTGGAAGTATGATGCGATACGTTTCCTGTCCATAACCTGAAGTAGCAGGCAAAAATGCTTCTGTATCCTGTCTATACCAATGGATTCGTCACAAAGGGCAAAACACCCTTGATAAACGCATGACATGTGGAGTCTATCAGTGAATACAGTCAAATCCATTTCAGCGGTTTCCGAGGACTCGAAGAAGCGAGGTATTTTCTTGCTCCACGTTATCGGTGATTCTCTAAGCTCCAGATGTAGATTAGGCTCCAAGATGGAGGAAACGCTCTCGTCCAGTTCGACGATCTGTGCCGTTTGGCTATGTTGTTCATGCGGCAGGAAATCGGGCAGGCCGTCATCGGTCTGAGGTGGCGAAATAGTCGTAACTTCCTGGGGGCTATCATTGCTAGCCTCTCTGGCTAGGGTGAGACATGTCTGTACGGTATCGCGCAGATGTTCCGTCAGACCTGCATGGGATGCCAATGCTCCCGACCGAACCAGCTCGTCACTGAGCGATAAAACAGATGTGCTCATCTTTTCCACGATGCCTTCGAGTTCGGAGATGCGACCTTTCAAAGACGAGAGGTTGGCTTCTTTTCGTGAGCGATATGCGCGTTGCGCAAGTCGGATCTGTCTCCGACGTCTCTACTCGAGTTAATCAATTTCTTTGATGGCAGTGTACAAACAAGCTGAGTCTCGCGTACCTCTTCTGGATCTTCATCTGCGGTGTCCTGGGCTACTTTTCGCGGTCGACCTCGTTTAGTAAGCGCCGACGAGCCAGACTTCTCTACCTCATTGCGAGTGCGTTTCAGAGATTTTACTGGCGGCTGAGTCGGCTGGGTGTCGTTATTATAAAGAAGCGATTGATTCTCTGGTATGATCCCACCAAGAAGGGGGAGTTGGACATCTTGTTGTCTCCTTTGCGGTTGCCTGATCTGTTGGGGCACGGGATACGAGCAGGCCGAGAGCAGCGATGTTATCTGCGGGGCTGTCGAGTCATAGTGAGATCCAAAGAACGCATCGTTGACGCTCTCCCAGGGGAGTAAAGCTGTGTCTGAGTCGCTCATATTTGCTTTTGACGATAGACAGAATATAACATTATTTACCGTGATGGTTTGTTTGTACGGAAGAGCTGATGGAGGTGGTGGAGAGAAAAGCCAAAGACAGAAGAGCTGCTGACATATCCTGCCCTGCCGTGTCCAGTCGCCACACGTCACAGCATCCAACCCGTCCAGACCGGGTCGATCTATTCTTTGTTGGGCCGGATAGCATAAAAGTAAAGTTAAACAGCCTAGAAACTTTACCTCTATGCAAGTATATTTTTGACACTAAGTGGATGATGTGCTTCAGGTGTGTGTTGGTTGAGCAAAAGGGGAGGCGGGAGAGATACCTCGGCTCGGGATGTTCACTAATCAAAAATTTTGATCATCCTCATCCGCCCTAAAACACCATTAACAGTGGGAACCAAGATTACTTATAAACCTTAATATGAGTCAAATAAGTGTTTAGTTCGTTGTCTAAATTGTACTTTTATCTATAACGAATCCCGATACAGAAAGAGCTCACTATATCAGGGTGATCTCTCTAGAATAGGAAATTGTTGTAATTCCGATCTCCACTTAGACCGGTACTACCCATATCAGAGTTGGTTCTTCTGTAACACATACTAACATCTAATTACAATAAGCAACAAAAAATTTAGCTTGAACAGTACCTTCAAGATGATTTTGATGATCTTTTCTGGCCCCACCGCCAAGTCTTCAAGTAGACGTTTAATGATCTACAAGCTATCTCTCTAGTCTTGAGTTGACAGCACACTGAAAGAGACTCTTTCGTTGGTATAATAGAGTAGCATATAGGGGGCTGGAGATCATCTACTTGGCCCATAATGGCCAAAATTCACATCCCAGACATACTCTCCACAAGTTGCCCGTTCATCATAATCGTCTGGGTATTCACCGTCAGTCCCAAGCATTTCGATCTCTCCAAAATTATTTGCCCGATCGCCTCATCAACCTCATCAGGATGAATCATTGTAGTCATCTTTTCCCCTCTTTGCGTCTGCCACTTCTTTGCTTTTCCGTGGGTTGAGTGCGGGACAAGACATACGGTCTCGAATACCATACCCGCGTATTCACATCCCTGTAATGGATATGGATTCGACACCAGTTCAGCCGAAACGGAAAGCCCTCTCAATTCCGACTCAAGAAATGGCGCTAATTGAACCTGGAGACAGGCCTCATGAAGGGCCATTTCATCCCCACCCTGAGCAAAGAAGTTCGCATATGCTTGTCGGAGGTCACTCAGCTCCAGTGGTGTTCGACAGTTGTAGAATCCATAATCCACAGTAACACTACGGTGAGGTTGTGGAGACGACAAGCGAGTGAACCGTTTCAATTCCCATACACTCTGGTGCGTCGTTCTCCGACAGCGCTCAAAAGGGTCTCGAAATTCCGCAATTCTGCGATGGCATCGCCAAGTCCGTACTTTCTGAACAGGTCAACCATCTTCGACTCTACCATGGCCTTCCAGAACTCTTCGAATACACATGTATCTAGGAGCTCTCTGTATAGCTTCGCCACTTGTTGGGTTTCGCCGTCATCCCGAGCTGTGCAGAATCCAAGGCAAATCCAGTTGTCCTCGTCGGCGCCGGGGATGTATCCATTTCGAATATGGCAAAGAAACACATAGGCTTCGAGCTTTTCCCGTGGCTTCCACAGCTGATATGGAACTTGCTGATCTTCGGGCTTGAGCACATGTTTTTGAGATTCAAATACGATATTGAAATCAGTCTCTTTGTTGGCAGCAAAGCCATCCTGCTGACTTATCCAATGGCTCTCATTGTGAATCCAAGTAGATGGTATCTGGGAGCTTCGGAAAAGGATGAATTCCTTCAATTTATTTTGCTGCCATGCCTCTCGAAGCTCTTCTTCTCCCACACCCCAATCATTAACAAGGCTGCAGTACAACTCAAAAAGTCTCTGTTGATCAGCCGCCGATGTGAAGTAAAGGATCCCGAAGGCCTTAGCAACGTCATTATCTTTGGGCGATTCATGTGTCTGGCATGCAATGATGAAACGATCCACCTCATCTATTGGTCGTCCAAGACTGCAGTTGAACTTGTGTTTTGGCCAATGAGTTTTCTGGCATTATGTACTGCAGTAGAATGTTGAGCCGCATCTGAAACAGGGACTTAGATTTCCGGTTGCGGTACATCTAGCACAAGCTACCGATGTGCTTTTCGGCGTAGAAAGAACCCAATGAACTGCTGGAGGCGATTCACTTTCTATGTCAGAAGTAGACGAAACTTCTCGGCTGCTGCGATCGGGTTTATTCATTCTATAGCAAATATCAATGAAGAAGTCCTTCTTGTGACGGAGACATAGAGCTCTTACCTGACAGCTATCTCTCTCGGACTGCGATGTGATAGCCACTCCGACTCTCTTGCTTGTAATTTAGGGTCCGGTACATGGCGAGAAAACGGTGACCAGATACGCATGTGTTGTGGTGCAACTGGAGATGAGATAGTTGATTCTTTGACTGCAGCAATATGGTAGTCCCGTCCTAGAGCACATTCACGTTGCATCACATCTCGGAGGTTTCGAGCAGCGTTGTCCAGTGTCTCACAGTACTTTAGCGGCATGATAAGCGATTTCGGCAGTCTCCACTGCGAGTACACCTTTCCATGATTGTTACGCGCTTGAAATCGTGATAAACATTGTAGGAAATGACCGCACATGAAACAGGTCTTCTTGCTAATGCCAAGATACTGTGGTGTTCGGGATACGCTGTCAGTACTCATGAGATTAGAGCCATTGTCATTTCTGCATGGACCCATTTTTTTTCCTAAGGCACTCATTCAATCTCGCTCGGTCTCTTTCGGACGGCAACTGTGGGCACAGTGATAGCAACGGCGTAACACTTTCAGCTTTATACCCAGGCAGGAGCTCTATTTTGACCCGCTGAAAGTTTGAGATCTCGCGCGCGGCTTTATCAAAGGTGTCGGCGGCGACTATAGGGCGAAGAATATAACCCAGCTCTCGCACTATCTTATTTGCTTTTGGCAATGCCTCGATCCTGGAACGGAAGTCAATATTGGCGTAAGTGCTCTTGACTCCATCGACAAGGACTTTTGACGAGATGCGTCGGGAAAGAAAGTCCCTTAAGAAGTCGACCAGGCCCGTCTCTCTCTTTACCGTTTCTAAGGAATTGACGAGTTGTTTGACATGGTATTTCAAGCGTGGGGTATAGTATTCGCTAAATTCTCTATCCAAGTCCGGCTTGAAATCCAGGTTGAAAGGATCTGAACCCCATAATATTAACCCAACGAAATAAACAAGACACATAAAATGCTTATGCTTACCTCTTACTGCAAGTTGCTCCAACGTGCCTGCCAAGCTTTCTAAGAGCCTAATGTCCTTGTCTTCCCAAGCAGCGTTCCGTGACGCGAGTATAGTAACCTCGTCTACTCCTTCCCGTAGATACGTGCAGGTCACATAATGTGCATCTTTCTTATAGCACAATAACTCAGCCAGTTGATCCAGAAAGCATCTTCTCAAGTTCTTTGTATTTTCTGAAGCTAAGGGAGCGACGACGGCCGACGATCCAAGTTCATGGTTTCTCAGTTGCTCATCGTTGGGGGTACCTTCATCGTCAGTTTCTTCTTCGTCCTCTTCCTCTTCTCTTGCAAGGGGAGTACGCTGTTGCTGCTGGACCTGGAGGACGGCCGCTAACGTTGTTATCTGTGATTCTATCTCGTTTGGGAGATTCCAAACGTCAGTCTTGATGCCAGCTGTCGGGCGAGGCAGGTGGAGCTTTTTAACGTGAGACATTCTGTTGCGGACGACAAGGCCGGCGTAGAATCTAATGATTCGGAAGTTCTTAGAATCTAATCAGGTAATGGTTAAGATATGGTCAAAATCGTGGTTGAGACACAGATACCAACTGTAGGCGGGGTTGTCGGGCGGGTGAATGCTACTGCTGGCAGGGATACTGCATGGAAAGCCACAAGAAGCATAAAATCATAGCTGAGTGGTCAGCCTCGACATATTATCTTGTGGTAGCTGGCGCCATGCATCCTAGAACACATTATCCATAGCTTTACATTTGATATGCTATTTGTACCACCTCGCCTCTACTGATACTGGGCTCATTATTGCGTATTTCTATGCAGAACATTCTCTATTGAAAGGACTACGTTAAAAAGGTGTATTGCTGGGCCAGCCATCCTAAATGGGTTGAACCTATCGCTGGTAAATGTTATGTCCAAGCTCTATGCGTTACCCTGTCTATAACCTGCACCACATGAAGGGTTGAATGATAACAGTGCTTTTCTTTCAAAAACATACTTTTGAATGATTGTCTTGCATTTATGCCGTAGCATACTCTTTCAAGTACGCGGCAAGCTTCTCAATGCCCGACTCGGGAATGGCATTGTAGTTCGACGCACGGATACCTTTACATTGAATCAGTCACGGTTGCTGACCACAGCTTTTATATGTCACTTACCTCCGACGCTTCTGTGGCCCTTCAGGCCAGTGATGCCACGCTCGACAGCACCCTTCAGGAAGGCCTTTTCGGCATCGTCGACGTTGCCGCCCTAACTAGATTAGCCCCCGCGTCGAAACATTGTATTGTGGGTTGAGGGACATACCTTGATCACACGGAAGCAGGCGTTCATTCTTGAACGCACCTCCTTAGCGGGGACGACCTTGTATACCTCGGGGTAGGCGTCAAGCGTCTCATAGATGAGCTTAGCCTTTCTGTCGGCCACAGCCTGTTGTCCATCCACCTTGTCGGGGAATTCGGCAATCAGCTTCTTCAGAACCTGGCCTGCAATGTAGACACTAAATGCTGTCAGCGGAACCGACCTTGTAAGCTTGGTGGATCACTCACTCGAAGATGGGGAGAGTGTTGTACAAGCTGTTGTTCTTAGCGGCAACAGAGTAGTCGAGGATGGTGGGCGCAATCGGCAAGCCGAGCTTGCGCAGGATGGCAGGAGAGCAAGGGGAAGAAACAGGGGGCAAGAGGTCCTTCTTGATGATCACTCCCGTGATTCCAGCAACACCCAAGTTCTTCTGACTGTAAGGGGTCAGTGAGATTCTATCATGAGAGTCGACAAGCCTTACGCTCCAAAGAAGATGATCGAGTAGTTCTGGTAAAAGGTTAGCATCGAACCAATTGGTATAGCATAGTTCTGGTACATACCTGGACAGGAATACGTCTAGACAGGATAGTGGAAGAGAAGTCTCCAACGACAATAGGGTCCTCGTCGGTACCCTTGGGCTCCAGAACCTTGGGGAAGCTGGGGAATTCGACGCCATCAACAGTCTACGTAAGACGCGTTAGCGAGAAACTCATAAATGAGAACCTATACACACCTCGTTCTCGCACTTGTAGACCAAGGCAGCCTTGGGGCTCAGCTTCCAGGTCGACTCGTCTGCGATCTTTCCGAACTTGCCGTCGTTGACGGTCCTGGAGTCGCTGACGATGTTGACATACTCAGAGCCAAGAAGGCGAACGGCTTCCTGGCTGGCCTTCAGCGACCATCTGTGGGGCCATTTAGTATATGTTGATCGATCGCTATGGGCTTGGGTGACCATACGATCCAGTGACCAGGTAGTCCAGCTTCAGTTCCGACTCGACCTTCTTGCGCAGCTCGCTAATGACTTCCTCCTCGCTAATACCGGCCTTCTCCTTGATGACCTGCTGTCTCTGCTTCTCAGCCCAGATCGAGACGAGGTTGTAAACGGTCGCATCGAATTGGCCGGATCCACCACCTTCAATCCATCAGCGAGTTGCAATAGCGAAGAGAGATGGGGACAGCGATGTACCTTGCAGGAAGAGGATCTCGTAGGTGTCGGGGATATCCAGGAAGTTGGCAAGATCAGCCTTGGCACCATTCAGGATATTTGTCGCGATTTCGCTGCGATGGCTGTGTTCTGCGACACCACTAGAAGAGCAGGTTAGATACGGTCGCAGATAAGATCGCACAGATCAGTGCCCCTCACAGTCCAGTGTCTTGGTAGTTCTGCAGCGCCTGGGCAGCTGTGGCGAGAACATCGGTGGGGAGACTGGCAGGGCCAGCACCCAGGTAGGTAATGTCTTCTCTCTTCATGATGAATGAATGATTGCAATTGCTGTTGTATTGTCTTGCTGCAAGCGATAAGAACTGCAGAAGAATTTAAATGACGCGATCGGTGCTTGAGTCATTAAGTCCGGGGCTAAGCAAAGCGGCTTCCCCAGGCGTGTCTGGCCCCGGGCCTTTGTTTCCCCGGTGCGCCACAGAATTGCCCCTCGCCGGCTAAAGAATGCTGTGGCATCTCAAGCCATCCTCGTGAGGCTTGCCGATGAACGCATGATGGTGCAAATAGTAAGGGGTGTATGACAGGGTTGGATATACGCAGGTGTGACTCAATCTCGGAGCCCAAAAACATGCTGGCGTATGAGCGGAAAACAAAAAAGAAATCTCCCCGACTGGGAGTCGAACCCAGGTCTCCCGCGCTTGTTCCCGACTGGGATTGACAAGCGGAAATCATGACCGTTAGACCATCGAGGATTGTCGAAGGAATTTTATATATTTTGGCTATATAATCCTACGGAAAGTGAGTTGAATGAGATCGCCCCCTTGAGGATGCTTTACGCCAGAAGAGTAAGGAGCCATTGCAGCTCAACACCAAAACGGTGTAGATCCTCGTCTAAAGCATCGGAGTGGGTTTTAACTCTCGAAATTGTTGGTACTAAGATACATATATAACTACATTGCATTATAATCCTGCGCGTTACATCAAATTTGCTTACGGAGTTCCTAAATTCATCACATCTCTCTGCTGCTTTGTCCCTCTTTAGCAATTACTATTGGGCTATACGCGTCTTGGGATGCAATTCTATCAGCTAGCGGATAATTTCTCTGCGCTAATGCTGTCTTTCCTTCCAAGTTGCTGCCCACTTCGTTAGGCGATCATTGACTCGTCGGATATATATTTCGATGCACAGTGCCGCAGATGCCTCAAACGAGGATTGAAGCCTATGCCATCGTATCGTCAGATACTACTACTTATTTATTTCTGTGTTAGCACATGTAATACAATTGCATATGTCACACAGAAAGAAAGATGATGTCGCCTGCAAGGCGCCAGCAGCATAAGACATCGTGACACCATCATTCGCCACTTCAACACTGATAAACCTATCGACAGCCCCAACACTAGCTTTGGGTCGTACAGAACACTATGGGCTCCCTTGTAAATATGCAAGTAGAAACAACAAAATATACTATTATTTCAGCGAACCGACCACTGCGGTTGTATTGCATGCTAATCGGCATCAGTGTTAAGTGTCAACAGCATCATCCATGGATCTGGAAAAGCAGGACCCACCAACTTATCATGTGGGGTCAGCAACCAGCAGGGTCCGATTCTACCACACCCCAATCAAGCCAACGCATTCGGCGCCCAACACAAATCTTTCCCACCAAGACACTTCGGAATATACAAATAAGTATACTAAGATGAGCACGATTGCTGTGGCCGGTGGAACCGGCGGCATAGGAAAGACTATCGTCGAGGCATTGCTGCAGGAACCCAAATATCGGGTCATTGTCTTGACGCAAAGTGTACGACCCCTCATAGACGATGCCTCGCGCGCACTGACTCATGAAACGCAGATTCCCAAAGAGGATCCAATTCTCAAACAAACGCAGCAAATTCAGATCAACTATAATGATCTTGACTCTATTGTCGAAACGCTGGAGAAGCATGCCGTGCACACAGTCATCTCCGCCATCGGAATCTACACCGACGAAGCCGCCCAATCTCAGATGAACCTTGTCCAGGCTGCCGAGAAATCCAGTGTAACCAAGAGATTTGTTCCCAGCGAATATTCATTTATCCAAACCGAGGAGTATGTTTACCCTGCTTGGCACTAATGGCAACTTTGCTAACGAAACAGTCTCCTACCCCACGATCCCAGCATTAAGTACTGGCTTGATGCAGCTGAATTGCTGAAGAAAACCAAGTTGCAATATACTCGGGTCTGCCCCGGTGTCCTCATGGACTACTGGGGAATGCCTCGAGTGCGAACCAACATCCATCAACACGTTATCGGGATCGATGTAGCCAACTGCTGGGCTGGTATTCCTGGCGACGGCAACGACAAGATGAGCGTGACATATTCATATGACCTAGCAGCATATATCGTGAAGTTACTAGATCTCGAGGAGTGGCCTGAATTTAGCATTTTTGCGGGAGATGACATTACTTACAATGAGCTCCTCAAGCTTGCCGAGGAGGCTCGAGGTATGTGATTCGGACACCCACGAAGACATTCAACTAACATGACCAGGCAAACAATTCGATGTTGTTTATGACAGTGCTGAGAACGTCAAGGCAGGTCGGGTCACCGTGCCACCGTTCCTTACTGGGCTTTCTGAGGAGGAGGCCCGGGAAATGACCGTTCTGGTGAGCCGACTCACTATCGCCGGTGCTTTTGATCTACCGCAGGAGCGTATGAATGCATTATTTCCCGATATCAAGCCTATCAAGATGAGGGAGTTCCTCATTAACACATGGAAAGATGAGGCTTAATCATGAATAAAGTTGAATAATAATGAGTGACTAATATATCTTGTTGTTTCTCTACTAAAACTTCGTAATAGCAAAATGTGGTGTAGTATAAACATCACCTGCCCAGGCATTGCACCCAGCCATATCATCTCCAATTCGATTAACTCCAAACGTATACAATAGCATCAATAGTCAGAAACCTAGTCAGAGGTCTTCATCATCTTCTCCATCCATAGCTCCCTTGAAGGGGTTATCGAATACTAATACATGATCGTCATCTGCAGGAAATATTAGCCTATCTACGAGATACCACATGTGCGGGAGACAGCATACGGTCAATTGCATCCGGGTCACTTTCCGCATCAGTGATATGTCCAACTGCATTTACGATATGTGATGTCACATTATTGAGGTGTAGCATATCAATCAGGGATTCCTTGTGTTCGTGGGGTGGCTGGCTGAATGCCGGTGTAGGAACCTGAGTCTCGTGTTCGGACATTGTGCAATATGCTCTAGTACTATGGTAGTGTCTAATGCCGAGGTAAGGAAGGCTTTGAACAGGATAGAAGAACAATAGTGGCTGACTACAACCAAGTCTGCAAACCGTCAAGATTTATACCTGTGGCATTTGTGACTGGTTGCCACCAACTATGGCAGTCCGATCTGACATCAGTGAAAGCTAAAGCCTGTTTACCCCAATAGAACTGGACATTGTACAGTAGACAAAGCCAAAGAGACCATCTATCAAGATCTTCATGAATTTCCTCCTGACATTTTCGGAAAGAGGGTAGGTCTTTCTGTAGCGTACATTTTATTCGTCCATTATATGGAGAAGAAGAAACATTATCCAGCACCCAACGCCATCCCGGGGTAATAGCTAATCTGGAGCCACCCAAAATATCATCCTGGGCTTTTAACATAACCCATAAAACATCAATCGTCAAACATCATCTTAATCAAAATCCTCCACATCCCATGTCGAATCCGGCGGTCCGTCTGTGATATTAATTAGCCATCTTTTGTTTCCCCCCATCATTACAACCAAGAGATACCGTACAACCATCTTGAATAGAAAGCAAATACCCAATCGTCTCAATCAGACTCGGCGAGTCCTCCACAGGCGGGACCTCCTCGATGAGATCTTCCAGACTGGGAGAACTGTGATTTTGACACCCAAGCTCAGGTTCAGTTTTTCTGACTTCTTCAACCGCGATGCCCATAGTATTCTTCTCAGAAGTGGTGGACATGGCGATGGATGTGCCTCCTTATGGAGACTGTCGATAAATAGATAGATAGATAGTAGGCAGCAGTGTAGTTTCTCGACAGAATACCTCGTAGCGCAGGTACCAAGTAGCTACAATCTCCATCCCTCCACAACACCACAAAATTCGCCATCACAGGCAACTTAAATAGCGTGCAAGCAACCTCCAAACCATCAAGTCTTGACATCAAGCGATAATCCATAACCTAGGCTCAATTCGCGGGGTAGACTGGTAGCTTTAGATATTTACGACAAAAGAGGTGAAGTCATGGGATCACCAGTGAACCTTCAAGAGGCTACAGGGGATCGTGCTCAATTTCGTGTCTGTCATCGGGCGTCGATTGAAGTCTGTTGGTTGATTTGACATGGCTGTCCTTGGTTGTGAGTACAGGGATTCATGGGGCGGGTGGCCTGATAAGGTACGGCCAAACCTAATTTTAGACCATGGCAGATGTATTCTGGGGGCGTTCTAATAACTTGGTACCGATCCCAGGGGAGGAATATGGGCTTCTGAGATTGGGAGGAGCCGGTGATTCATTGAAATTGATCGATAGCTGAAGGAGAAATAGCTACTGTATTCGGATGGGCCCGAAGTGCTGTGTGTTGTTTTACCACTCTTTAGCAGCACATGACCGAAGCTGGATGGATTAATGAGCTAGCCTGGCCAAGCATGCGGTCCATACTATGTATACAGATGAAAGTCCACCGCAAGCGACCAACCGAAGGTGCGACCAACACACACAGTGTAAAAATAACTGTGAAGAGAAAGCAGTTCAGTTATTAAAAAAGCAAAAAGAAATGATTCAAGGCCCGAGCCGCGGATCGAACGCGGGACCTCTCGCAGATATGCTTGGGTTTGTATCCCTAAGCGAGAATCATACCACTAGACCACCCGGGCTTGATATATTATGCTGCAGTAATCTTTGATATAGAAGGGGAAGCATAGTTCCAGCCAGGATTCGCTTACATGCCTTCTTTGAGCCAAACAATAGACGCATTCACCTTGTAACACATCAATCAATATAGTTCCTAAGCCCCTTCAGGGCCATCTTTTGTTCAAGCCTTGGCAAACTGCGGAAACTCGAGCGGTCAATGTGACGTCAAACGCTTCCACAAGGAGAAACACTCACATCACTGTACCTTTCTCCGTGTCATCTCCCTTCAGGTAATACCATCAGCGATCATGGCATCGAATTATTCCTGTATCGGTGCTGGATTCTGTGGAACAGTCTGGGCCCTCTCTGAAGATGGTCAAGCCGTCAAGCGAGAAGATGGCGGTCCAAACAGGTCTCTCGCTAACGATTATGCTATGCACCGGAGGATCCTCCAGAGCTTTACCCGACTGACAGACATCAAGCGAAGATTTGGTATCCACCAGACATTTCCTCAAGTCCGGGTCTCGGAGTGTCATCACTTCATTTCTCCAAACGATCAGTGGTGGACGGAGAATCTCCCCCTCTTCCCATCGCAGTACTCACCCTGCAATGCCATTGTCTCAGACCGCATTCCCCCATTCGCCGAGCAGATCAGAAAACTCATCGTTAACAGATACTGCAACCCGGCGATACAAACAGAGATACTGACAAGCGCTGCCAACAGAGACTGTCTGATACGGCCATACCTGGGTAGGCGACGGACGCAGAAGACTGAGGTTAACAGACCCTCGAGATTTGCAGCATTCTCACTGAGAAACTACCCACTACACGAAGACCAGATGGAAGATATCGGTATCCCGACCGAAGACATGCAGAGCTATGCGCGTATGATGGGTGAAGCATTAGCAACTCTACACTGGCTCGGCGAGGTGGACGGAAATGATATTGAATTTGTTCTGGCTCCTCCCCCTTTTCACGAAGAACTATCCAACACCAACACAATCACCAATGTTCTTGGTCGGCATGCTATGTGGATGCTGGACTTCGATCTATGTCGACATATGCCCATGGGCGACGCTGGGGTTCAGCAGGCTGTTGCTGCTTTTTGGCGCAATGACCCGTTCTACCCCCGACCGCAGAGCAAGCTGTGGGCTGATTTTCGCGAGCAATACCTGATGAGTAGCGAAGAGATCATTAATGAGTACAGTCAGGTCGATATCGATGAGCGACTATCTTTCGCCCGAGATTTCATTGGATTGATTGAGACGAAATAGAATTACAACAAGGTGCTCTCAGCTCAAGACACGCATTTCATCGAGGGAAAGGGTCTTTATGAGTATGCGGTGACACGTGTGGCCGTGATGCGTTGGAGCAGGCTGCATAGGGCATCGGTCCAGATCACTACCAATTACTGGGCGGTCTGAGGCCTAGAACAGGTAGCGACCGAAGCAGGCACGGATCAGAATCTAGCTCTTCTACATTCCTGCATGCCATACAAATATATGCGAAAATAATAAGGCTGCAGAAAACCGCTCCAACAAGGCGTTGCTCCTAAACATATGGCTCTGCTTGAGCTGGAGGACTAGGATAAAACCAGACTAGCCGGCTGCAAGGGAAGTAGATCAGCCCAGCTGTCCCTGCGGATGTCAGACGGTCAGTCGCTTGACTCAGAGGAGGTACCTGGATGACACAAAATTCAATTAATCACCGACCATGTCAGGCGACGAATCGCGAGGGATTTCTCTGCTTATCTTCCGACACTTACGTGGACATTGAATATCAACTTGGCTCGGACTCCGATCGTGTTTCCATAGAGCGCAGACCAATCTATCAAGCAAGCACTATGCCAGGATTCTTCCCCTATAGCCGAGACTTATTATGGCGCCACGACCAGGATGTCTTCACGGCTGAGTGGGAACTGCACATATCAGAGCGACGAACCGTGGCACCACTCAGGTGACGTAATGTCGATCCATGCAATTTGGGTGTTGGAGACCCGGTGACAGGGGTCACTCCAAGTCTGGGCCTCCGTGTCCTGGAGGACCGTGTGTTGGCATTCCGATGGCGCGGGGTTTTTCTTATAACGGTGCTCGGATCCTTTCTCCCTTCGTGTTATTGTCTTTCTTTTTTTGTTAGACGCGGATTCTTCTTGAGAAGCTAGAAACCCGCTTCCGCGTTCTTCTTGCCCTACCATTTCAACCTATGGAAAGATTTCGTCGTTAGCAGGTCGCGCGGGTACGCTTCTCTTGCAGTACCAGAGCGATCTCCCTCCGCTTGCAGAGAACTCTGTTAGTCGACAGGAATGGTTCACGCACAGTGACAGTGACTATAACGTCTATTTCCTCTGCGCCAGAAAGGGCAGTCTCAGGTATGCGCTTTCAACTGGCATCGTCATGAAGTTACGGACGCTAATGATCTAAGATCTGACCAGCACCCCGCCCGACCACTCGCCAGTCGATTAGCGGTACGAAGATACGACACAACTAGACACGATGTCGAACACAATGACACAGCCGGCTGAAAGTTCGGTGAGCTACGATCTTACCAGGAAAAGCCAGATGGGGGGAGACTGCATTCTGAAGCGCTTTGCGCAATGGTTCTGGTCGGTGTGGATGATCGCCGGGTCTGGGACCCACGATGCCCTTGCGGATCCCGCGAATCACCCCAAAGCGACAAACGGTGCCTCCACAAAGACGAACGGATGTGCTGGCACAGCGAGAGGTGGTTTGTCTACCACTGGAGAATGCGACACAGGACTGCGGGAACAGTCCTCTGGAAACGAGCATAGTTATCCTTGCAAGGCATGCCAGACATGGGGTGTTGTTTGCGACCAGCAGAGACCGCGCTGCTCGCATTGCTTGGATCAGCAGATACTGTGCTTTTATGTGGCACCTCTGCCAAAACCACCGAAGCGGTCAACCAAGTCGCGTTCCCGCCACGTTGAGATCGTAAATTCCTCGCCCCGGCTGTTGGCGAGTTGACTTTTAATGAATCACGAGTGAATGAAGTTACTTTGGTCTTTCTACACAGCTCTTCTCTTATCGTCACGATAGTTTATTCCCGGCCGATAAGATAGGCACGTGTCTTAGATAGCTCTATCGTCCAGTCACCCCACATGCGGGGGAAGACTAGCAGAAGGTTGCTCAAGGGAGTGACACTTGGACTCCAGGTGACTGATCACAAACCGTACATTCCGTATGCAGGATCCGGACGGAGAGTAGCATATTCAGGACATGCACGATTTGCCACCGTTCCTTCACGGCGGATATCCAACGCGGACCAGAACAGCTGCTTCACAATCAAACAAAAGGATGCGCAAGTTTATGATCGTATTTATCGAATATAAACTAGTCACTCCCCGCAATCGCTGATTTGACTTACCTCGGATACTTGATTTCAACATGCGCCGTTGCTAGCAGTCGTCGGAGCACTGTCAGCCGATTCCCCCGCCACAAGGTACCGTGGTACATATTTAGAGATGTGGTCTCTACGATAGCAGTCTAAACTTATGTTTGACTTCTATTTACAACTGGGTGCACGAGGGTGATTCAAGGTTAGTTGCCGTTACCGTTCGCTTCGCCATCGAGCTGACTGACACATAAACAGATGGAAGCAGAATACATTCGGATTGCGGACGCAATCCAACAAGAAGCTCGCAAGAATGACAAGAAGCGACTTCTCGTTGCTATAGCTGGAATACCAGGCTCTGGCAAGACAACCACAGCTTCAGCTGTCGCTCAACAACTCCGAGCCGAGTCACAACCAAACAAGATAGCACTCATCTCCATGGACGGCTTCCACTTGTCGCGGGCGGCATTGGACGTTCTTCCTAACCGTGAAGAGGCATACATCCGGCGTGGTGCACCGTGGACCTTTGACGCAGTGCGTTTCGTTACGTTTGTTCAAAAACTACGACAATGGGCAGACTCTACTCCCTTTCCCTCAGACGGAAGCTCATCGTCTGACGCTGCTGTGATATATGCACCGTCATTTGATCACGAGGCGAAAGATCCCGTTGAGAATGGCATGGCTATCACAAGCGATGCCTCAATTATTATCATCGAAGGCAATTATCTCCTGTTAAACGAAGACCACTGGCGGGATGTGTCGCAATTGGTCGATTATCGCATATTTGTAGATGCAGACTTGCAAGAAGCCAGGGGAAGAGTTGCTCGACGACATGTCAGTGCGGGGATTGAGAAGACGCTGGAAGATGGCTTCCGTCGTGTGGACAGTAATGACTACCTGAATGCGCTGCATATACAGGGGAAACTGATACGGCCTGATATGGTGGTTAAGAGTGTGACGGAAATCGCATGAAGTATCATCTAGTATACATATCTAGGGTACAAGTTGCTTATAATGAAACAGCTTCATACAAAGGAAGCTTGATTCGGGGAACTACCGGAGCAAACCCATCACTCCTTGATCTTGCTTTTGTGGAAAACATCTATGCGCCGAATTAGTTATCACCCACCAAGAGAACTAGACAGACTAGTAGTAGCTACTCACCCGGAATCTCAGGCATCCAACGAACCCTACTCTGACAGAAGAACTCTCCCTTGGGCGGCAACACCTCCGGATCATCCAATGTCCCTACACAAATATACCGGAAATCATTCTTGACCGCATCCTGCACCATTCCCGTTAGCATCACACTCGGTTGCATTCCTCACTAAAAACCCCCTCAAAAGAAACAGAACTTACCCCATACTCGCAAATATAACTGCCACAATCCCCACAAAACTCCCGATGAATCATACTCCCAGACCCATTATCGCCTACATACTCCTTCAGCGTACCAGATGTAATCTGAAGAGCATCCTTGGGGACCTTGGCGGTTAGACCGTAGTTTGTTCCGAAAGCTTTCTATAATCCGGGGTATTTGTTAGTCAGTTAGACACCTTGTGGACAAGACTAAGGTGTAGATCGCAGATCATAACCCTGGATCTATCTGGCTTACCTTGCAGCTGCGACAATGGCAAAGGGACGTGCGGGCATCGTCCGGAGATGAGAGGTTAAGGTTATAAGTGATTTTATGACAGAAGCAGGAGCCGGGGTAGGATTGCATTTTGGTTAAGTGGTGATGGGATTGATGGTAGAAAGAAACACTTTTTGGTGGTTTAAGCGCAGTAATGGAGTAAATGTTATTGTTGAGGATATTATAACTGAGAATTCTGGGCTTGTTGTATAGAGCGATGCGCCTGACGAATGTTGACGTCACTGCTGTACTACAACCCCGGCGAAAAAAGATACTCGTGATCGGCGCGGACATGTTATCTTCAGCAGCTGGGTGGATTTATTTATTCTTTATCAAAGATACGAAATAATAATGGATTAAATATAAGAGTAGGTTGCTGACCATGGCACAAAAGTTATATCAGCCCTCGATAACCGTCGTAAGATTAATTTGATGATTGTCTGCAGCGATAGCGTGATGTGATCATGACCGAATGAATCCCCTTATTTCTTTCGGCAGCTACCCGATCAGCTGATGTCCTATCTTTTATATTCCCCGACCGTCGCCTCTTTCATCTCTTTCATTTCTGACAAGAAACGGCGATCGCCCCGCGCGTATGCTGATCGGCCGAAAGGCTTATTCTTTCGCTCCTCTTTGTACATACCGCACCGCCCATAGTAGCTTCACCGGGCGTAGTTTATCCGCCACTTTCACAATGTCGCACAAGGAACAGCCTCACGAGTCGCAGCTGGAGAAGCGCGCTGTCGTTTCTTCATTTATTTTCAAGTTTCCCAGGGGTCCGTCTGAGAAACCGGTTGTTGCGCTCTTCAAGCGCAGCGATAAAGTGCGGACGTACAGGTTCGTTTACACCGTACTTTCTTTTTTATTGCTGCAGCTTTCGCTAATGTATGCGATATAGCCATCATCTTGCTCCGATATCTGGCAGTATAAGTCGCAGCGATAATTTTCCCATCGAAGCAGCGTGGCGCGAATTGGCCGAAGAAACTTCACTCGACCAATCCTCACTCACACACTGGCGCACAGGGAAGCCATTCACCTTTGAAGATCGATCTGTCAATCGCGAATGGACGGTTCATCCTTTTGCTTTCAAGCTGAAAGACTCATCCGAAGGAGGGAAAGGTGAAAGCGCTATCAAGATAGACTGGGAGCACGAGGGATGGGAATGGTATGATCCACAATCGGTGCTAGACAGGGGAGACTTGGAGACTGTCCCGCGTCTAAAAGACTCCCTGCGACGAGTTTGGTTCGAAGGTGAATTGAGCGAGCGCGCAGCCAAGGCGCTTTCACTGGGTCTAGAGCGTCTACGAAGCGATCACGAGAGCGGAGCGCAGGAATTGACTGCCATCGCGCTGGTGGCCTTCCGGGATTTTATTGTCCAGACGCAAGATGAGATCGATAGTGAGGAGTGGTGGAAGACTGTTCGCATGGCAGCGTGGCATATTATCAAGAATGGCCGGGAAAGTATGGGCGCATCGACAATGAATGCTCTAATTGCCGTTCTGGATGAGATGAAGGACATACTTGTGGACGAGCAGACAAACTCGCAGCATAAGTTGGAGCGGGTCCTGAATGTGCTCGATCATCATCTCAAGTGTCGGAAGAGTCGTCAAACGCAAGTGAAGGATGCCTTTGCAAATTACATTCGATTCAAGTTCCTGCATCACGGGGAAGCGCTGGATAAACTTACCATTTTGACTGTTTCGGCTAGCTCAACTATCCGGGACAGCATTTTGGAAGCGTATGCATCGCTGGACATCCGAAAGCTGGAACTTCGCATTCTCGAATCGCGGCCACTATTCGAAGGCACTAGTATAGGTTCATCAATCGTCAGCAACTTCAAATCACGGTTCCTGGACACCCCCGGCAAAGAGCTGAAAGTGAAGATATACACAGACGCATCTGCCGCTTTGGCTGCCGCCGACGTGGATTTGTTACTTCTCGGTGCCGACCGCATATCCAGCACAAAAGGAGTGAGCAACAAGACTGGCTCATTACCAGCTGTGCTTTGCACAAAACACGTCAGTCCTACTGCCCAGATCGCTGTTCTCAGCGATCTTGAGAAGATCAACTGTGTCGGAAGCATGATTGATGATGATCATCATGAAGACAACGATCCGATGGAGGTCATCAGTGCCTGGCGCAACGACGGCGTCAAAGCAGTGCGGGTGCTCGAAGATGGCATGAAGGAGGCTGATGCAGAGGGGTCGTCGACGGTCGAGGTGAAGAACACCTACTTTGAATGGGTGCCGTTGTATATGGTCGATGCGTTTGTTAGCGAAGAGGGCGTTATGGAAGAGAGTCGCATTCGGGAGAGGTCGAAAGAACTAGGGGAGACGGTTAATAGGTTTTTTGAAGATTTGTGAAGCTGCCATGGTGATCGGGTTTAGGATCGGGATAATGATGGACTGACATATACCAATGATAATTACTATAATGTACCCATAATAAACATACACGCCAGCATGGCCCCCTTTGAAAATTCAAACACCGGCCTTTGCTTAAATGACTCATTCTGTCTATCCTCTCCAGGAAAAAAACCCGACCTCCCCTTTCGACAGAGCAAACAGATTGTATCTGCCTACTAAGTCGAGGATATGTTTAGCCATTCTCTATAACCGTGGTAATTACTCCATCTACACTACTTCCTCAAAAACGTCAGCGCCGCCAAACACAACGCATCAACCCCCGTCCTCAACGTCGGCTGCACCACCGGCGCAAACAGCGCCGAATGATTCCCCGGAATCTCCTCAACCTTCCCCTCCTTCTCAGCCCTATCCCAAACCTCCTGATCCACACCCCCAAGCAACCAAAAACAACTCGGAATACCCCGACAAGTAGCAAGGGTACTAAAGTCCTCGGCGATATTAGTCCTAGGCACATCAGGATCAAAATCCTCAAAATGGCCCGCAAACGTCTCCGCAACCCTCCTAGCCACATCCCCATCATTAACCGTAGGCGGAAACCTCCTCGTCGGGGTAAACACCGGCGACACCGGCGACCCACTAGCCAGACACTCAGCCTGCACAATCCTCTTAATGCCCTCAATAATCTGCTCCCTAACCTCCAACCTCACAGACCTAAAATCGACCCCAATCTCCGCCCGATCCGCAATAATATTTTCCGTCTGGCCCGCCTGCAAGCTCCCCACCGTCAACACCGCCAAATCCGCCGGATTAATCTCCCGACTCACGATACTCTGCAACCTCACCACGATATGCGCCGCAAGTAACACCGGATCCACCGTCTGATGCGGCTGCGACCCATGTCCGCCCCGTCCAAACACCGTGATCTTCATACTATCCGCCGCCGCCATAATCGCCCCCTCGCGGGACGCGACACTCCCCGCCCGCATGCGCATGACATGCTGCCCAAGAACTACGTCCGGCACGGGGATGCGTGAATAAAGCCCATCGTCGACCATGGCTTGCGCGCCGCCCCCGCGCTCTTCGTCCGGCTGGAATAGCACGATCAGCGTCCCGCTCCATGCGTCCCGCAGCTTGACGAGGGTTTCGGCTGCCGCGAGGAGACAGGTGATGTGCATGTCGTGGCCGCAGGCGTGCATGACGGGTCGGTCGTTGCCGTCTGTGTCAAGCATGGTGGTGGTGCTGGCGTAGGGCAGGTTGGTTAGTTCCTTGACGGGGAGGGCGTCCATGTCTGCGCGGAGAAGGACCGTTTGGTTGCTTTTGGATTCGTCCGTGACATTGCGGAAGACGCCGGCGAGACCGTACCCGCCGATGTGGGTGTGGATGTCGAAGACACCGAGTTGGGTGAGATGCGCGGCGAGTTTTTCTGAGGTGTGTTTCTCTTGTCGGGAGAGTTCGGGATGCGCGTGGAAGTGTTTGTAGAGGGCTTCGTAGGGGGTGAGGTCTAGGGGGGTGGTGGAGAGGAGGGATGATATGGTGGTGGCGGAGTGAGTCATGGTTAGTTGTTTACTTGATTGATTTATAGTGGGTAGGTGAATTGGTTGTGGTAGGAAAAGAGATGCATGTTAAAATTAGCTGGAGGTTATAGAAGGTAACTAGTCCGTAATTGCTCTAGTTTTGTCACTAAGATGGTGGGCTGAGATTGCGTGTGTTGGAGAAGTGTGACTAACGGCGGATGGGTGGGCTGTATACAGAGCGGGGACTAAACATTGCAAGGTAAGTAGTTTGAGGGCAATGTTTTACTCCCTCATAGCCCTGATATTTGCCTGTATTTACCCACTTCTACTAGAAAATTACAGACTTGCTGACCAAATATTACGCATAATCAAGTAAAATTCATCAGAATCGTCATGATAAATTCAAAGCTACGCCCTCACCGCTTTCCCCCACACTTTATTGCCGGTGTCACTCCGCATTGACACTCGCTTATCGATAACCAAGCTCTATCTTATACTACACCACACACGTACATAAAAGGACGAAGGAGGAACACAGGGGGAATACTCTGACTAGGAAAAGGGAGAAACGCAGCTGGCTGCAAAGCCCAAAGACCAAGGATTACATTCAAACGTCCTGTCCAACAGGAAGAAGCAATGACTGAACTAGAAGGTAGCACGTCTCGCTGATATCATTGTGATCAAAGGCGCCAGAAAATGCTGATGAGTGCACGGAATGGCCGATACCGAAGTCCGAATTCTCTTCCAAGCAGGTCAGAAGTTTCGGCGTCGCAACGCCGGTCATGAAGAAGAAGCAACCGATTGAAATGCATCGGACATCTGCTTCCCCGACCTCCGTGATAGCCGCCCACAAATTGTTAGACTTCTGCTCCCGAACGCCGAGCTGTAAGCCCCGAATCCCGTATCTATAGAGCGTTCCGATGATCTGCGATCATGAGATTGGTCTTCGATTGAGAGGTTCACTGTACGTCCTGATGTTTTTGCTGCAGGTGCATTTTAAGGTTCCTCGTGGTTGTTTTGCTCTTAAAGAGTATGAAGTTATTGGTAAATTGAAGATATACATTTTCAAACATAGCGATTAAAAGGGAATTATACGATTCGATATCATACGTTCATACTAATACTACTTTTATCTCCAAAATATTATAATACATCTTTAGGCATAATAATGACTCGTCCTATTTTTAAAGTGCTGTATCCCTAGTATCACACATGTCCTTTCTAGCTAGTCATGCATTGATCACATACAGGGAACTGGAGGTCACTGGAGCACGCAATTTGAGTTTGCGTCTCATTCCAGGAAACAGATAGTGTCCTTCGGTTGAACTGGATGCAAGGTCGGACGCAGGAGAGGGTATATCATAACCGAGGCTAGTACCTCCCCCGCCTTTCCACGGTCGGTCTTTCTTTCATCTACTAGTATATATTCGGGGATTCGTTCCTGAGATGCTTGACTTTTCTCGCCCACTATATCTCTTCGTCCGCTGACTGTTGAGCGCAAAAGTATATCTTTCAAGATGACCCTCAACCAATTTCTACAGACCGACCGTGAGACATACTCCTATGTCTTCATGAAGAATGTCGACATTCCCTTGAAAACCTCTGGCAAAGGAGTCCTCCGCGCCAACGTCTTTCTCCCCAAAGACGCCGCCCCATTCGGCTCGCAAACCTACCCGGTGATCGCTACCTATGGTCCCTGTTCGTATAGCTGCTCGCAAATGATCCAATGCACCACTAACATAAATTTAGATGGCAAAGACGTTCCGTATTCTGTCTTCAATCGGAGTAGCTTCGACGAGGTGAACCCACAGCACAAGTCCGCCCATTCAGCATGGGAAACCCCCGACCCAGGGTACTGGACTCAGCGGGGCTACATCGTCTTGAGAGTGGACGAGAGAGGAACTGGGCAAAGTTCAGGGCAGTTAGACGTCCTGTCTCGTGGAACCAGTGAGACGTTCTTTGACGTGATCGAGTGGGCTGCTGAGCAGGAATGGTCGACCGGCAAGGTCGGCCTGCTTGGGGTCAGCTACTACGCCGCTACGCAGTGGAGTGTGGCAGCCCGCAGACCCAAGGGGCTGGCCGCGATCATTCCCTGGGAGGGCTTTAGTGACTATAATCGAGAGGCTGTTCGTCATGGTGGCATCCTCGCGGACCAATTTATAGGTCGGTCAAAACCCCACTTGGTGTGTCAAGATTTCTCCGATACTGACTGCGCCGGCTGTTTGGGATCGTACAGGGATATGGTGGTCTCGACAAGTACTACCCAACCAGTATGGCACCCCCGATCGCTGGGGTGACCCGACTCTCGAAGGGGACTTGGATTCAGAGACCCGAGCTCAGAACCTGGCTGGCTTGACCGATAACACCGTCCGGTATCCGTTCGCGGACGATGAGCAAAACAGGTCTCGAGTGTTTGCTGTTGAGGATGTCGAAGTCCCCCTTCTCAGTGTAGCCAATTGGGTAAGCCAGCAACGAGGCCTGTGATGAATACAAGCGTGTACTAACATATGGGCTAGGGCGGTATTCTGCTGCACCTGCGTGGCAATGTGGTCGGATGGATGCGAGCGTCTTCTCCATACAAGTTTCTACGCTTCGTCGTCGGCCGACATGACCTACCCTTCTACTGGGAGCAATCGGCGGAGCTGCAACGGTCGTTTCTGGATTGCTTCTTGAGAAATGACGATCATGCGGGCTGGAAGACTACCCAGCCCCGGGTCTATCTCACTCTGCGGAACAAGGATTGCGATCCCAGGAATGAGTTAGATCAGCCTGGTCGCCCCGAGGCGGATTGGCCTATCCCCGACACACAGTATACTACGTTTTTCCTTACGCCGAAGCGTACTCTGTCTACCGTAGCCGCTGAGACGACAGACACCTGTACCTACGATGCGCTCCATGGGTAGGTATCCCTCTCCTGAACACATCACTTTCGTGTTCTAACTTCTGCACAGGGACCCTATCCAATTCCATTATACGTCCAGCTCTTCCATTGAGATTACGGGGCATATCGTCGTACACTTAACCATTTCCGCCTCTCGACTCAACCCTGACAGTGCACCCCCTTCTGATATAGATATCTTCGTCACCCTGCGCAAGTTGGATAAGGAAGGAAACGAAGTGTTCTATACAGGGACCGTCGGCGATCCGGTCCCCGTTGTGAAGGGGTGGCTGCGCGTTTCGCACCGCGAAGTGGACGAGACACATCCTTTGCACAGACCTTACCTGCCATATCGCAGCTACTCCCGTGCTGATGTGCTGCCGGTGGTAGAGGATGATAAGTATCCAGTTGATGTGGAAATGTGGCCGACGAACACGGTCCTGGAAGCCGGAGAATCACTCGTGCTTGAAATTGCGGGTCACGACACGCAGGGTGTGGGCTTGTTTTCGCATCAGCATCCAGAGGATCGCGCCCCAAGCAAGCTTGCAGGCCTGAATCACGTAGATGTGGGTAGGGATAATAGCTGGATTTTGCTGCCTGTCCTCCCTCCGCGGAACTAGCAAACCCTCTGCATAAACGGCCAAATTCATCACCCGGGCTAGCACTAGTATGAACTATTCAGGACATGATTGGGGAACAATGAGCCTGTCGCATACAGAGTTAACTTTGTCCCTCCTTCTATGGGTTCTCAGACCCTAATTACTTCATAGCAGACCTTTTTCACTTTAGAAGCCCTGTGCCCTCACCGCCTTTCCCCACAACTTTGGCCCCTGGTACTTGGCTGTCGCCACTCCACAACCTCCAATTTAGCTATCAACAACAAAGGTGAAGATATACTGGGATCAGTCGTCGCATTCTGTTAGTCGAATACTCTACTATATTCAGCTATACACAAGAAAACAGAAACAATGAAAGCTTCAACCAAGGAACGGAAGAGAGCGGCCGACCGCGAAGCGCAACGAATTAACCGTGCTCGAACCAAAGACTACATTCAACACTTGGAGAAAACGGTTCAAGTTCTGTCTGGCCAACAGGAATCAGCGACGCTAAAAGAGGACTATACAAAACATCACAAGTTGTTAACAGACCTACAAGGTACACTGAAGAAGATAGCACGACTTGCCAATAGCGCTGTAAATCAAGATCTCAGTCAGACCGAAGAGCTTGCCGCTGAGGATAGCAAGTCACAAAGCAACCAGCAAAAGCAATCACCACATAGCGAGCTGGAAGACCTTGAGGGTACGACTAGGAGTGCTCCAAGGATTACTACTATCCCTCGGACAAATCTACATCCCGACAATTTCTTTGGAATTGATTTTGAATGTAGCGATCGCGAACGAAACTTTCTTCTAGTGCTTGGGAGTGCCTTTAATTTGATACAGGCGTACTCCAACGACCATGCATTACTTAATGCCTCACCTAGAACGGATGACGATATCTGTATTCGTGCCGTTGTGGATGGTTGGGACGCTGCAGAGGACAGATATCCATTTGACCCGGCCTGGAAGCTGCTTCAAGCTGTTGACCAGGGCCTATATTACAGATGTGATTCTGTCATACGCATTGCTTTGTTACGAGTAATGAGATATATGCTTCTTGTGCTTACTCCCACCCGAAGCAGAGCTAGGTTCTGACTGCTAACCCATGTCTATAGGGAAAGATGGGCTTTCCTCAATTCTCTATCCCTGACTACATGCGTGCTGGGTAATCAACTCTTCTCACAATGTCTGCGTATCTTGCTAATATCTGAGATAGTCATATACAATGTACTATTCCACATGCACCATTCCTTGACTTCTTACCTCTGTAAGTGAACACTCGAACCAATGCGATCTAAAGGTATGTATGTACTCATACATGGTAGCCCGCAGTTTCGCGATTACTGGATTCTGAGCGGCATCGATTACGCATCGGAGAGTTGTGCAGCAGAGTTTACCAAGAGAATTCAATTTGTATGGCCGTTCGAATTGAGGGACGTTTTTCTGAAAGAGGTGTCTACTGGGAACTACCTTTTCTCTCACGAATTCGACACGAGATACTACAGTTCGGAGTACTGGACGCTGGACTGTCCCACTGCACCTATGCCGCTTTTGCCTCAGTATGACACGCTTCCCGACATTCAGCCGACTACATTGGACGATATTTCAACTCTATGTGAAAATATTGCCGAGGATGTTCAATAATTACAAACCATTCGCAAGATAGCCAAGGAGAACTTCTGCTCTTATGTGATTTTCACGCCGGCAGGAATCATAATCGCTACTATCATAAAATGGAACATCAAGGCCTTGCTATCGGTTGTCCAATAATAAGCATTTTGTATGTAGCCAGTGACATGCATGTTGAGTTACATCGTTGGATGCGGAAAGGGGTGATTTAGCTTTTCGCCACTGACTCTGAGTGCGCGGAAGTGGCCAATTCCGAGTCCGCACTTCCACGAGAACCAAACTGCGCGAGTCAGGAATTCTGACGTTGCAGTGCCGGTCACACAGATCAGACCGGACCATTCGGAAGCCATCTACTCCGTAACTTTGTGGCAGTCGTTCAACTCTGTTCCAACTTCCGTCCGGAGTGCCCTACGGAGTCGATCTAGGGCCCACCGACCCACTTTCGAGTCGCGTTTTCGACGTCGCAAACCAGATCGACGAAGCATCCTGCTACTATACAATAAGCATCGCATACTCTTACAAATCCATCCAGATATTAAATACCATATTTTCCTCCAAAAAAGATGTAGTTCCCTGTAACCATCAGCTCTCTTCAATTTCACACCCTCGTACATCATGACATCCCGTTCACTGCTCATCACCGGAGTTTCCGGATACATGTACGTGAAAATCCCACTACTAGCAACATAATACCTACCCTAATACACCTCACAGCGGAGGAACCATCCTATCCTCCATCCTCGCAGACAAAAGCCAATGGACCGAGCAACTTGACATCCACGCCCTCGTGCGCAGCGAAGCACAAGCCAACACAGTCCAACAACTCGGCGTCAAGCCCGTGATGTTCTCCAGCTTCAACGAGACAGATCGTCTCGAGAAGATCGCGGAAGACTTCGATGGTAACCCCCCTACACCTCCCACCTCAGCACCAACCTCACCTCACCAAAACACAGTCATAATCCACGCCGGCGCCGGCTGGCACACCCCGTCCGCGAAAGCCCTAATTACGGGCCAAGGCACCCGAAAAGCCAGAATCGGGCAGACAGCAGCCCCCCATTACATCCAAATCTCCGGAACATCGAACCTAAGCGACCGACCCTACACAGATAACTACACGGACACACACCTCTTCACCGACACCGAAGACATCTACTCCTACGAAAAGTACCGCGAATCGCGCGAAACATACCACCAACGCACGACGGACCTCACCGTGTGCGAGACTGGCTCGGCCCTCGGCGTAAGCACATACATCGTCATGGCACCGACTATCTTCGGCCAAGGCACGGGGCCATTCAACCGCTACTCGATCCAGCTGCCAGCTATGATCGCGGACGCGTTGAAGTCCGGTGCTGTTAGCGTCGTCGGAAAAGGGAATACCGTTTGGAGCCATGTGCATATCCAAGACCTGGCGGGATTGTTTGTTGTGATGTTGCAGAAGATCTGCACTGGGGTGGAGATTCCGTCTGGGAAGAAGGGGATTTACTTTTGTGAAACGGGTGAGCATTCGCATCGTGAGTTCTCGGAGAGGTTGGCTGTCGCTGCTTGCGAGTTGGGGGTTTTGCCTTCGGCGGATGTGAGGGAGGTTAGTCTGCAGGAGGCGGGGGAGAAGTTGGCGTTGGGGAGTGTTTCGAGGGCGGAGTTGTCGTTTGCTGCGAAGTGAGTTTGAGATGTTCCCTTTCTGTTTATGAGGATGAGTTGTGGGTAGGGGATATGATGTGATGCTGACCTACTTTTTCTGCTTCTAGTGCTCGGACAAAGGCTGTGTTGGGCCGTGAATTGGGTTGGGTGCCCTCGCATGGTGATGAGTGGGAAACTACTTTCCATGATGAAGTCAGCGCGTTTGTTAAGAATCCTCCGGGTGAGCGGGATGTTCCGGAGTTTTTGAGGAAACGTTAGATGTACATTTATAGGTATACGGGCTATGAGGGGATTGGGTATGTCAATGTTTTGAAAGAACTATAAGGACAATGTATCAGAAGGAAGAGACATCTTAGAGAAGATACAATTTGCCGAGGAAGTCACAATCGTAACCAACAAAAGGCCAGGAAACACTTGGAAGTATGCACGTTCAAATTATTTCTTACTGCGCTGCGGCAGCTTCGAGCATCGTATGTTACAATGTTAAATGCCGATGAAGTCTTAAATGTGCCTATCAGGCCTCCTAGAACAGGAAGCTTCACAGACATGAAATGGGAAGCTGGACCGGGTGGCCTGTGCCATCCTCAGAGGCAGAAATTTATACTCAAAATATCGTTCTTCTAGTAGGCTGATGGTCTCAATGAGGCGATGAAGACTTGCAAACTATATACTTGAGTTTATATGCTGTCCGTTCTTTCAAAACCTCTCATCCACGCAGCTCACTGGCGGAGGAACCGGCTCTGATAACTGTATGATTTGTGACCCAAGCACGTAGTGTAACTAATCAAGCAGGTAATCCCCAAGCAAATGCCATATCCCCTCTCAACACCCCTCTAACAACCTACCCAACCCACTAAATCTTACACCGATCTCCACCCCTTTGCAAAATCCCATCCACCCCCCTCCCCGCCTCCTCTACATCCCTCCCCAAATCACGAAACCACAACCACTCAAACCACCCCACCTGCAACTTCCCCAGCACCTTATACATATCCTTCCCCGTCTCAGGATGCTCATAATAAAGCATCGTCGCCATTTCATGCGCCCGTTCCAGCTGCATCTGAGCCCTAGGTCTCCTGACCTGATCATACCCGGCAAACCCGGCCCTGATGTACGGTTGCAAATGGTCACCACCCGGAGCATTCAGATATATCTTAGCGAGCACATTAGAGAGTTCTAACGCATCCTCAAGTCCCTGACCGGCACCGGCAGCCTGGAAAGGCAGCGAAGCGTGGGCACTATCCCCTAGAAGGACCACGCGATCACGGTAATATGTTGATGTGTAGCGATGGTGGAAGAGACCCCATCGGATGGGTTTCGCTTTGCGGAGGAGTCGACGGAAGCGGTCGTCGATGTTTGGGTCGTTGAAGTCGGACATCATTGTCTCGTGGGAAACTTTTTGGGTCACGGCGTTGGGGAGAGCCCAGGGTTTGTTGTCTGCTACGCAGAGGAGGAAATTGAGTTCCTGGTTGCAGTGCTTAGTCGACTGGGATGGATCATTTTGCTAAATGAGCTTTACTTACCTCTCCACCTGAGATCAAATAATGAACACAACAGCGCTTCTCACCCAGGTACATCTTCGCCACGTCCGTCAGGTCGCCGAAAATCTCCTTGCCTTCGGCAATGGGTATCACGCCGCGGTAGCAGTACGAGCCGGCATAAACTGGGTTGACCTGGCTGGGGTACAGTGGTGATAGCACGTGCTCTCTCACAACGCTCTTGATGCCGTCTGCGCCGACTAGGATACTCGCCTCGGCGGTGTCGCCGTCTGCGAAGGTTAGGGTGACCTTGTTTGGATGCTGTTGGATATTTGTTAGGCGCTTGCTGAAGCGGACTTTTTCGATGGGTATGAAGCTGGTCATTGTTTGGAGGACATCGTTGCGGTGTGCCTGGGCCGATATCAGCACAGCTTGGTTAGAAAAAGGATGTGTGAAGGAGTGACAGACAGCTCTGCGAATGTAATCCGGGTGACCCCAGGATGATTTGCCGTACCAGGGCTCTTTGAGACCTGCAGTGTTTGCCAATCAACAACTTGATTCACTGATTGGTTCTGGAGTATGATATATGCATACCAAGACCTTCCTTCAGAAGCATCCCTTCAAAAAAGATATTCTGAGCATCTCCAGGCTTATTACCGATACAGAATCGCTCAAATTTCGAAAGAAAGCCCTCTTCAATCATATCCAGAGCCAAGTCACCATTGGTTCCGAATCCTATGCCGGCACTATAGCCAGTCAGAAAGGCGAGCCGCGAATTTATCAGATGGACGGCAAAGCAACGAAACTTACCCGACAGTGGAATACTGGGATTCTTCTTCATAGACCGTAAATGGTACGCCCTGCTTGTGTAGTCCCATCGCCAGAGCAAGGCCTCCAATGCCGGCGCCTAGAGACAATCATTGGCAAATCCGGCGAGATGAGTATGAGAGTGACTACGACGTACCGACGATAGCAACGTGCATGTCTTTTACTTTGTCTCCCGCCATGATGATAGCTTTCAGCTACGTTATCTGCTACTAGAGTTTCTGCCAAGGTTTCTGTAGAAGATTATTCTGTCGATCCTTCGACGAAGACAAGACCGGCTGCTATCTCAAGGACGGGCAAATGGACAGCCTCGCGTGCGGGGTTGGCGGGTTGGGTCGGATGTATGTCGTCTGCAGCTGCATCTCGATAAGCGCGCTATGCGCGGATACTCCGACAAGAGCATGTTTATGAAAAAGCCTAATGGTGAAATCGCTGATTTACTTTGAGATGGCTGAATAATCTCCAACCTCGTCCCCAGATTTTGGTTAAACTCTGACAGGTCAGACGAGTTGGTGGAGATCTTATATCTGTCGAACTAGTACTATTTAATTACTGCCAAATGGGTAAAGATGCGTAAATAAAGTACAACAAGAATATGGGAATTAGAAATACGATTGCACGGGTCGTTGGCTACTCTGTACAATCTGAGAGCGCAAGCCTGGAATTTACAGAGTTGTTTGCGTGACATACTACCGATGAGCTGGTGCGCGTTATTTAGTTGTATCTAGCTTTCCAAGGATGTAATTTGCAAGAGTAGGGGGGTATAGGTCAACCATATTTCATAGAAAGAGTCATATTATTCAGACAGAAGGCGGGGAAGTCCTTCCTCCCAGCTACTAGTATTCTCTTTGACTGAGACAGAAACCTTGGACCGCCAGATTTATCCTCCGTTGCGAACATAGACTGTTTATGCGGTTGAAGAACACAATAGAGCTGTCGAAATCCTGAGTCCCTTCACGAACAAATTGTCTCATGGATTCGCAGACAGTTCCACATTTGCGCCAGACTATTATGAGAAGTAGAAAGACAGAGGCACACCGAGCAAGTATCGCGCGCGAGCATACCAGCCTCTAACTAATCAGTAGCGTGCTCCTCCTTGACCATCGGTCTTAGTAAAGCCTTGGTATCTCCCACAGCCTGACTGCACATATATAACAGGAAAAGCGTGATGTTCGTCTCTCTCGCGCCCGGAGTATAGAAGTCGTGGAGAGGACTCTTCAGCACAACCAACTCTTTGCCATCGAAGTAAGCGATCAGAATTCTCGCCTTCAGATTGTTTGTGCATGAAGTCAAGAGAACCTAGAATGCCTCTATTAGTTGGGAAGATTCAAGAGGAAGCTGATTTTGGGGAGACATCAACTCACCGGAGCCACAACGTGGTCTTGCAGCTCTACCCTCCCAAGCCGGGTCCTCATGACGCCGACTAGAACAAGAAGTTCGGAACGGAGGATGTTATTATCGCACACTCCCTCATGAGTCACGATCAGGTTTATGTGAGGAAGTTCCTGGCCCTCGGGTAGGTTCGGATACCAAGCATCTTCAAATCTGAGAGGTGGTGAGGCCAGAGGATCACTACCAGGGTCTGTGAACATAGCCATATTCATATAACGTTCCTTGATTATGGTATTATTGAAGGACCTGGCGGATGGGTGCTTGTCAGTATGCATAGCTATCATGGAATATTTACGTATATACGCAGTGGTTAACTGACCTTCCGAACCAGCCTGACAGATCATCGAGCGTATGTTCGACCCGTGTGGTTCTCCTTGCGTGTGCTGTAAATTCCCAGAGGAACACACTGGACAGGAGAAGCCCAGAGTCGTCACTTTCCGGATCATTCTCGCCGGTCGACTCACGCGACCTCTCTTCATCGAGGTCTGCGAAGCACGCCTCATTGACTCGGACGCTGCGTTTAGTATCTGGGTCGTCAAGGTTAAGGGGAAACTGCTCGAGCTTTTCCAAGGTCCAAGGCTTGAAATATGTCTGTGCAGTAGCCGAGGAGCCACCGTCGGTGCGCAGCGTGAGCTCAGCACAGTTGATGTTGTAGTCGGCAGCTTGGTCGTTGGTGAGACTGGTCAACGGTGAACGCATCACGGAACGGTGTATCTCTTGAAGGCCAACTAGAATGTCCTTCCGCGCTTTTGTGAAGACCTCATTGTTCACTTGTCTTCTCTCTCTCTCGCATGTTTATATATTAAAGAGTTTACGCAGTGACATTTCGGGAGGCGCTTGTCACTGAATACTTGTGAGAAACAGAAAGGTGTCTCGGGGAGAAAAGACAAATAATTCTTGCCTATGACTCGCAAATGAGGTGAAATGTGTGTTATTTGGGAAGACGCGGAGTGGCTCCCACCACCATGGGTTCGGCTGAGGTAGTAGTGAAAAATGCAAACCAACATTTTCCGCCCTTATTTTTGCTATTCGCTACCAATATACAGTATAGATGAGCTCTCATAAGTGTCCATGATGTTACTAAGATTTGATATGTGGGACAGTCGTCCTACGAAATGCCCTGGCGTTGGTTATGAAGGACGGGGTTAATGCGGATACCATGTCGTGAAATAAGAAGCAATGTCCTCCTTGACGATCACGATCTAACCTATGCACTGTTGTTCAGCATTTTTCTGAGATAACGGTGTCGAGCGTCTAGGATGCTCGGATTCTTCGACTCCTGGCGAAATACAATAAGCTGATTTCCTGCGTAATTTGCTACGTCTCATACTGTGCGGGCGCCTCGAAGCAGAAGCTCATGTGAAAGACCTCTATGGACTTAAGCATTTATCTTCTTCGTACTAGGTTAAGGATCTTATTTTTCCCTGACCAATATTATGGTTGACTGTAGGGAGCTTCTCCGGATCACTTGTCTAAACCAACGTTCTCTGCCGACTCTCGGTGCAACATGGATATCACTATTGTTACTTCACCTAATGTCCTAAAGTCTTATAAATTATTTAAAAAATGAGTACAATTCCATGATAAGCGTCACCAATCCTCCTGGTCCAATAATAGTGGCATTTGTGGTAATGACAACCTTGTATATGGAACGATCGAAGAAGTAAGGGATTACGTCAGCCACAATGGCCGACTGTTGTTTACCTGCAAGTCTGCGACTCTTCCCTTTTTCATGATATTCTTCATCCTCCCTCAAATCTCATGGTCTTAGAACATATGTCGACCACTTTCATACGAGTCTTGAGTCCGTTGGCGGCTTTAAGACATCGTCCATGGCCATCATCACCAGCTGTTGCGCCTCAGCTTGATATCAAGGAGTCCATCGAAGAGGAAAAGACACCATACTACAGCCCTGCGAAGTTTTATCCGGCTCATATAGGAGAAGTTCTCAATGACAGGTATCAACTCGTAACAAAACTTGGATATGGCTCTAGTTCGACCATCTGGCTGGCTCGTGATCTGAAGCAGTTTGTTTCTCTCTCGGCTTCTCTTCGCCTAGCCATTGCTAATTAGTCTAGGTGGCTATGGTTAAGCGATAAATACGTCGCCTTGAAACTCAATGCTAGCTTGTATCAAGAAAAAGGTGATACTGCTCAGTCTGAACTGGAAACCCTCAGACTCATATCCGGCAAGAACCCCAGTCATAAGGGCTATCCCTTTGTTCGACGTCTCCTCGATTCATTTCAGTTCCAACATGGGTCAAGAAAATGTCAGACTTTGGTATTTGAGCCTCTAAGAGAGCCCCTTTGGCTTTATAAAACACGGTTCATTGGGGATACTATACCCTCAGATGTGTTCAAAATCATGATTCAAATGATCCTCCAGGGGCTAGATTATCTCCATACTGAGTGCCACATTATACACACAGGTATGAAGCGAATCCCAATACGGAGATTGTATTAACAATATGATGTCAGATCTGAAGCCGGATAATATAATGGTGAAAATTGAAGACCCATCAATTTTGGCGAAGGATGCTGAGGATGAATACAAAAACCCACTCCCACAAAAGACCTACCACGATGGTCGTACTATCTACTTATCACGAAATAACTACGGACTGACTAGCAAGACTACTGGAATGACTCAAATCACAGATTTTGATCTATCTGTTAGGGGTGACAGGCCCAATTTTGGGTGCATACAAGCAGAAATTTATCGTGCACCAGAAGTCATTCTCGATGCTGGCTATTCATATAGTGCTGATATATGGAATCTTGGCATGATGGTATGCCTCCTCCTGGAGTCGTTTAGCGAGTTTCTCCTAACCTTCAACACTTAGTTATGGGATGTGCTCGAGGGCAACGCTCTCTTCAAAGACATTGATCCACTTCATGTCGGTTGCTATAATGAGCAGAATCACTTTGCACACATAATAGCACTACTCGGACAGCCTCCAAAGGAATTATTGGACACTGGTAAACGAACATCACATTTCTACGCACCATCAGGCAGGTAACTCTATTTAATGCCTCTGACAATATTACTAATCGACCATAGGGGAGTTTACCGGTCCTACTGTCGACTCATCGAGGTTTGACTTTGAACAATCTCTCAGCAAGATCAGAGGCCAAGATAAGAGAATGTTTATCGAATTTATCCGAAGGATGATCAACTGGGATCCCCAAGAACGAAGCACGGCAAGGGAGTTACTTCAGGATCCATGGCTTCATACTGAATTCGAGGGAAATTAATAACTAAGATTTTCGAAGATTCAATGTATACGTGTACATGTACATTCCAGCAAGCGGCGACTACTATGTTTGATAAACTTATTTCATATCATTGTTGTGCTAGAAAAAATCGATAGTTGTTCTGACCATGCCTTGGCGAGGGCATTTTGTTCTCACGGCTACATCCTAGGGGTGTAACTTTAATTCTGCAGCAGCCTGATCACTCCTGAATGAATCCTTTTGACTTTCGTCTAAGAATCGGGTATATGTAATATAATATTAATCCATGCCTCCGGCGGGGTATTCGTAGCAGAGCCAATGGGTCCTCTTCTTTGCATTCTAGGAACTAACTACTGATTCAGATCCTCTTACCGGCAACCACTTTACCAGGGACCACACAGCTAAGTTCCTGTAGTGTATCGACGGTGCGATACAAGTAGGACAATTAGAGTATTTCTGGCGTTTAATATAAGAACAAACTTCGGCTGATGCGGCCACTTGTCTACTGGACGCCAGTAGAGACTGGTAAATGGCAAAAACATTACAGACTAGTATATCTCTTGAAGGCCAACTAAAGTCTTCTTCTGTGCTTTTTTTAAAAGATTTTATTATTTGTTTATCTTCTCTCTCTCAAGTATCTTAATATGTTAGAAAGTTTACACAGTGACATTTCGGGATGCGCTTGTCGCCGCATGACTTGAGGAGAGACAGGTAGGTATCTTGGAAGAAGAGAACACAACGTAAATAAGGGAAATATTCTTGCTTATAACTCGCAAATGAGGTAGAATCTGTGTCATGTAGGGAGTTGCGGGTGGCTCCCCTAACCATGGTCTCGACTGGGATACAAGTAAATATGAACCAATGTTTTCGCCCATGTCAAGATGATGATAATATCCAGGAAAGTAAGAAAGTCATACACCCCAAGCAACACAATACTATTGGTAGCGCTCCGGCATGGCGTGAGAAACCTCAGAATCTACCCACTCAAGGGAAGACTGGACGCCGAATAACTCCCACATCTGCGCGTTGTTCCAAGATGATACCATATTTGGATCTATGGCCCCGTCATCGACATTACCAATGCGAGTTGCGCTATCGTAAAAGTAATTATCAGCATCAATCTGCGGAATACTCACTTCCGCTTCTGAACTCGATGGCATCGTAGACAAGTTAGTCTCGTCAAGTGGCATAGTCATCGTGTTAGCGCTGCCGTCTCCTTGCATAAGCGGATCGCATAAGTTGAGAAACGTAGTAAACAAGTGGTATAGTTTGGAGATAGAAGGATTGGTGTTTATAAATCGATGCAGCCCTCTAGTAGTTTCATGCATAAGTTGGTAGTCGTCCGTATTAGAGGTTCCGACCACATTGCAGAACAAGAGGTAAAATGGAGTCATGGGATAGAAAAGCACGGTCCTAGTGATTAACTCTTTCAGAGTCAAGTCAGATATAGAGTGAGAATAGGATGCCCACCATGATAAAAACATTGAATAGGTACCGACAAAGCTATCATCCTCGTTGAGTAATTTGTGTAGTCGTCTCAAGGCCTGGAAGGCGTGGCGGGCTTGTACTAGGCATTCTTCGCGAGCCTGAGGTTGAGCTTGCACCCTAGGGCTAAGGTGTAGTAATGTTGCCATAATGGCATGATATCGGAACTCAGTTGCAATCCATTCCACCTGTAAAGCAGGACTAGAATCACGGCATCGCTGGTGAAACCGTTAGACTACCGCCAAAGAGAGACGGCAATGCGGAGGATAGGTAAAAACTTACCTCGTCAATCACGCCTCGCAAAGAAGCGAGATTTTGTATGGCTGCGTCAAGGGTTGTGTCCACGTCGCTGATATCACTGAGGCCATGATTCCTATGGACTACCTCCATTGCAGCTTCTTGAATCTGAGCAAGCTCAACCACTGTTTTGACAATCAGACTGAGAGCGCCACTTTCCATCGGAATTAGTGACGCTGGGTTGAGTTTCAGCCTTGGCAATGAAGGGGGGCGAAGCAGAAGCATGCTCAGCATTTTGTCAAGGTAGAAGCAAGAAAAAAGACAGAAACGAGCATCTTGATCCTCCTGACAACGAACTGGAGTATCGTCTCTGATTGTATGATAGTTCATGGCGACAAGTATTTGCGAAGCGAACGCCGTGAGAGTCCAGCCTCGAGTTGGATATCCCTGCATTTGGTGCAGAAGTGCCTAAGTGGAGTCTTGGTCAACTTCTGTTCGAGCGACGGGGAGGGAGAACATACACCCGAAAGTAAGGCCTGAACCAGAGTGATAGAATATGTACCAACAAAATTTATCTGATCCAATGCCCGCAAAGCCGCGGACGCGTATCTCTCTTGGGTCTTTTTGACGTGTGTGCGGAGCCGCCCGCCCAAGCGCTGCTGCGGTACGCGGGCGAGAAAGAACAGTGCTTTGGTGTAAACGCAAACCTGATAATGCAGAGATGTCTGCCGATCTAGTTTGCCCTCTGCAAGCGAGAGGCTCATGTGCTCTAGGCATCTGATCGATATATGGTCGGGCCAGTAGAAGTGTCTCTGAGCGGAGTGCTGATGTAATGACATATCTATACGATGTCAGAGTTACTTGGCTTTCTGAGAGTTTCGATAACACGAACCCATAGACATCATAAGGTACACTTCTAAAGAGAACTCTTCCCGGACAGATGCGTCATGGTCGTCTGCACATCTCGGGTTCCCACTGAAAACCTTAGGCTCTGTGGAAGATGCGGATATCTTGTTGACCAGCAATAAGGCGTTCTCCAGAACCGTACGCCTCTGGGGAGATAGATGATTGCTATTCTGCAATTCCTGTTGGATTGACCGTCGTGCCTCGCTGACTTGGTGAATAGGCGTGTCCTCGCTCACAGCTGGAGACTCGGAGACCCTCTGACAAGGAGTTTCCCGTTTCACGGAATTCAGATTCCAGATAACAGTAGCTGGAACATGAGACGATATGGGCTGATCTGTTCTGGCACTATTTGATTTCCCAGCTTGGGATCGAGCATAGCTCTGTGAAGAGGTGGCTGCAGCACTTGAAGGGTAGGAAACAACATGCTCAAGAGTCGATAGCCTCTCCGACAGTCCGGCAATTCTGGACTGGGCGTTACAATCCGAAACCCCAGAGGTGACCGAACACATTAAGTTCAGACGAACTTACCGGGAAACCCTGGGACGCATGCTGCGTCTGGGTCGGGTTCGCCGACATTCCGCACGAGCATCCACGCAGTTCATACAAGGGTCCAGCCGATCACATTTCACCTATTTAGTGGAGTGTGTCAGGCGAGATTTAATGTAGGAGAGACGGAACAGTGTGACAAAGGTTGGGTAACAAACCTTTCTTGTGTGACACAGATCACACTTAGAAATCCCATGGGCGAATGTCAGCCATCGGGGAGGTAACCCACAGCTCCTCACGATAAGAAGAGAAAACCGATTTATAGACCCAGGAAGGACCAAGTCTTTCACTGGGCGGGGAGGTACTTGCTAACGGTACGAGGGACTTACAGCTGATTTTTCCATTGCGATCTGGGTGGCCATTGTGCCAGATGCCTTTTCTCTCGCTGCGATAAGATGGGTACTGTCCAGCCATCCAGCCAAGCACCAATGACAGCAATGGAGATTGGGGGGCGATCGATTTTCGGTGGTCCGAACATCCGACTATATTTGGTAATAGTGTGTGAGGCAGTAGCCGGCTTTATAATGAGATAGGTCAAGGCAGGGGAGAAAAGGGCTAGAAGAGAAGATTGATGTGGATATAAATGTATTTGAAGGCTGCTTCTTCATCAGCAAAATCTGATAACACAACTCGGCACGTGGTAGCAGCCACTTGTGCCGACTGAGGCGATGTTGTTGTTGATGCCCCGTCAACAGTGGAAGAAGTAGAGAAGTTTCTATGACAAATGTGGATCCAGATTTGTCAGTCGGTTGTTGCACGGGTGCGTTTGACTCGCCTTCATTGGTAGAACATCCAACCAAGTATACTTCATCAAGTAGGAGATAAAGAGATGGAAAAGTTTTCGGTGAAGATTTGAGAGTGGAAAGGGGCAATTCAGCACGAGATCAAGCAACTACTTCTACGATGCTGACTCTGTCGCTTAAATGAGTAGCTTTGCCCTGACCCGACGTGGCTTAGAGGGCTGCCTGGCATAAGCATTACAGGGAAGAAACCATTATTGAAAGCCATATTATTTCATTTATTTTCATACTACGCTATCGAAATACCCGCCAGACACTAAACAACGGCCCCGACTGGTGATACTGCGGCTCCTGCTGGGAGTCAGTCCCCAGACATCGCAGGTTGAATAGATTAGGAACAAGCTTTTCACCAGTGGAGCCGGCCGAGGAAAGAAGGCTGTGTCCTTATTTATAGTTACTGTTTGTGCTTAATTCATAACTTTTTCCTAAAATTGGACCAATCTCTTTGACCCATCACGCCTCGTATGCTCTCGGGTTGAAGTCTGGAATAATACCACTTTGGATTGTGCTTTCGGCTAGACGGCTAGCAAGCCTTGGAACTATCCAAACTTGGCTACAGCTAAGCCTCTCTAGTGTGTTGACGGTGCGATACACGTGGGTCAAATTGAGTACCTCTTACACTTGGATGCATCAATAAGCCTCAGCTGAGGCGGCCACTTGCCTCCTGAGCGCCACTAGTCAACCCTGAACTCGACGACTCACAGTGGAATTTTCCGAGAAGCTCTTATAGCCTCAAAGTTCTTGGGTGCATACCAATTAGAAATCCAATCGTATGGTCCAACCAGTGGCAATGGGGTGACTTTTCCGCGCATTCCAAACCCACCGCAATGTAGGTATGCTACGATCCGTAGGTATGTAAATGTTTCAGCAACACAGATAAGACACCTAACCCGAAGCCTGCCATGCATTACAGATAAGATTGAATGCGTCGAAGTCTACCTATGAAGAGTGAGAATTTGCTGCGATTCTCCCATCTCTGCTTCTTACCGCCCACTCATCATGCGAAGGCCATCACGCTTTCAACTGTGCATTTGTTTATTATTTCTCATCATATTAATACTCTTGGCGAGCCATATTTATGATCTATGCGACCAGTATCGTGCACAAGAGTACATAGTTGATTGGTTCAGTCTTGAGCGGACCAGCCAAGTGACAATATCTCCTCCAGGTCAGACTGGCGACAAGGTAATCGTAGCTGCGAAGCTACAGGATGAGCAGACAGAATGGATTGAGCAAGAACTACCCGAGTAGGCAGTTTGACATTTCCCAACAGTTACAAATTGTTCACTAATCTTATGAAGCTGGCAGCGAGCTATCTACATCGTCAACCCATCACCAGAAGTTGCAGCTGATGCTCGACAACTTACAACACCCCTTAACAAGGGCCATGAATCCATGGCTTACCTAACATACCTTATAGATCACTATGATAGACTCCCTTCCACCATTGCATTTATTCATTCGCATCGCTCAGGCTTTCTTCGGGCCTGGCATGTCGATGCACCTTTGCATGATAATGTATGGTCTATGAGAGCCCTACAGCTGGACTTTGTCCAGCAGAATGGCTATATCAATCTGCGATGTAACCAGAACCCAGGGTGCAAGGCAATATACCATCATGTAACACATGATATCTTCACGGAAATATTTCAAGACACCAGCACACCCCCACTAAACGGGACTGATCTTGCACTTGGAAGTGACAAACGCGCCATTCAAATACCTGAGACGGTTGCGGCAGCGTGCTGTGCGCAGTTTGCAGTATCTCGGAAGCAGGTTCTTCAGCGACCACGCGAAGACTATATCAAGATACGGCAGTGGATTATCGACACGCCGTTGGATGATGCTCACAGTGGGAGGGTTATGGAGTATCTTTGGCATATCATCTTTGGCAAAGAACCTGTCTAGTAAGTTCGATGTCTGCTGACAGTAGAGTAATACTGACCCCGGCTTAGTTGCCCAGATGAAGAAGTCTGTTATTGCCAGGTGTATGGGCTATGTTGAACGACTACGTGCTAAGCATTCTGTGTAACAAGCATCTTGTGAATATTTTTTACTGCTCTCTTGCTGTTTACATTCTTCTCATTAGCGTTCGTTGTATTCCTGGATAAAAATAGTCAACAATTAAGGCCTATTTACTTGGTGCAAAGCACCAAGCAGAGAATCAAAATATAAACAACTGGACAGGCCCTAAACCACGGCCCCAAACACCGATGGCAATCATCCTGACACCCCACGCGACCAGGATAGTTGATCTTCCCTCTATTAGCCCAATACCCTCCTACTTCCTACTCTGTACATACATACCTCCCGTCAATTACCTTCCTCATCCCTCCCTGCTATCTTATCCATGTACAGCTGCCTAGCATCACCACCACTACCTGCAAGCCACGACCCTTTACTTCCCAAAGGGTTCGGAAGTTCGGACGCCCGACTAATTACCACCCCAAAATACCCTAGCCACCCACCTCTTTCTCCTCACTACGCATGGCTTCCTCTGGAATTTGACCGAATGAATCAGATACCTCGGAAATCCCTCATTACTCCCTTCAAAAAAAGTACCCTGTATACTAGTACGGAACCTGAACTATCCCACGTGCCCCATCCAGACACTCTCATTGCACAGAAAACGGCGGTTTGAATAGAATTTCTCTGGGTCCGGACCCACGGCACAAATTGAGTTATCTACTCGGCAAGATCTGCGGGTGGGTCTTACTACGCCCGTCCCTGAGTTGAGGTGCTCTCGAGACAGATTGCCGTGTTGGTCAGTATTCGCTCTCTCACTTTGGTTTTCTTAGAAAAATGGCATGATGTTTTGGTAGATTTATGCTTGTGTTCTTCTGGTAGTGGTGGTTGACTCCAACTCTGATTCTGGCTCCGCGGCATTGTCCACTGTATTGACAAGGGGAATGTACATACAAGAACAATATTCTAGATGCAGAATACATAGTTAAACCACAGAAAACCCTCTAGCTACTAGCTAAGCACCTCCCATAATTCCCCGCGAGGCACGCATAGCACCGAGCTCTAGATCCTGATACCCATGTCTACTACCTTCCATATTCCTACTCCCACTTCCAGTACATACTCCGTCTCCAAAACCCGCCCCAAATGCCCCAATCCTCTGTCTAGGCCCCCAAGCCCATCCACCATACCCCTGTCCCGCAGGAGCATGATACCACATAAACCCCAAGATAGCAAACACAATCCCAATCAAACTACCTCCCAAGATATCCCACCCAGCGTGCATGTAGTCCATATACCGCGACGCACAGATATAGAGCGCACCACCAACAGGAACCGCAATGAGTACAAGGAGATACAACGGCGGAGCAGCCACCACCGACGCCCTGCTGAATGACGACTCCGTCTTCTTATCGCCACCTCCAGCACTAAAAGACATGGAGCGAACAGGAACAGCCACAGCGAACTTAGCGCCCAACCACAGCGAAAGATACAGCAAACCCGCCCAAGCGAAAGAAGAATGCCCAGACGGAAAAGCAGCGAACCCAGCTTTAATGACACTCGCATCGGGGTTCTTGCAAATAGCCGATGTCACCATAACCGGTGACTCTGTACGCTGAAGACCCAGTCCACCGACAGCGTAGGTAGTGAGGTTGGCTAGATCGGGCTGGCAGCGGGCTAGAAGGTCCGGTCGTGGTTTACCCACCACGTCTTTCAGACCGGAGGTGAGGAAGAATGCACCCGCGAGACTCAGGGCTAGGCCTAGCCAGCCGGCGTGCCATTCCCAGAGACGACGGGGCCAGGGGAGGGGGGTGAGGAGGCAGATTGCTGCGATGAGGACGGCGGGGACGACACAGCAGACGATTCCGACGGTTGTGATGGAGACGGTGTCGGATTTGAGGGGGTAGGAGATGTTTGCGTCGTCGAGGGAGAAGACGTGCTCGGAGCCGGTGATTTTGTAGAGGATGCCACCTGTGATTACGAGGATACTGGTGTTGAGTGAGACGTTTTAGTATTGTGATTTTTAGGATGAAGGGAATGTAGGAGGGTTATCGAACATGATGAATGCCCAATCCAGCACGTATGAGGCTATCACACTCTTTGAAGTTCGTCTGGGCTGAGTGGATAGCATGTCGAAGTCTGCATCGGCTTGTGGTCTTGATGCCATGGTGGTGACTTTGGAAGTGTATGGAGATGCGGTAGAAAGTGATTCCCAGTGATTCTATTACGGCTGTGTCTGCCGTGGGAACCTTCACTTATAACAGTGGGTCATGCCCGGCCGCAGATGTCAAAGAAGCCTATCCATTGTCAGTCCCTTAAATTAGCACGGGATTGTTGGACCCGTTTTTACGATCCAAAGTCTGGATGCCCTGACGGATGCCATAAATAGCCGAGTGGTACAGCCTGGTCCCGACCAGAAGAGGCATGATTATCGTTTCAACTGTGCAAGCATTGAGCTAAGCATTGTCAAAGTATACATCTTAAAGCTTCTGCCTAACGTGGCTGAGGCTATGTAACACAACATTATAGGAGAGTTTGTAGAAATAAGCTCCGGGAGCGAATCTTAGCGGAACTTTCTGTTACACGCACTCTATTGTTCGAAGACCATGGCTATGAAACTTAGGCAAAAGCAGGAGTGGGATAGTGAAGGAGATGCATCTTGTTGTAACCAAATAGTAGTCATTACCCATGGAAATTTGGAGATGTTTATCTCAGCCAGCTCCATAGTCTCCAGCACAACCCTCGCAGCCTCCTCCGGTCTGTCTTACATGGCAGAATGCTTGCTCACAATCATACACAATCTCTAGCTTCGACTCCTGGACCCCCTCATCTGCAATTTATAACGCCCCTCGTCCCTCGGTCCAATCTCCTTACAGTGATGTCCTTCCACATCCAACCAGCATCAACAACAGCACAAAAACCCTAAAGCCACCACCATCTTCAACCTGCCGATATCATGCACGATGATAAGCACAACAGTTCCAAAAGAAAATAGTCAGAAAATCTACGCTGAGAACGAGAGCGTCGATGAATGTATCTCGAAGTCATTCGGAATACCCGTAGGGGAGAAGGTCGTAGAGGCTTGCTAGTAGTCTGCCTGCGGCTGCGAGGCGCGAGATGGGGTTGCGCTAATAACCTAAAAGGTGACCAAAAAGAGAACCCAAGGTATGTATGTACGCACTCGATTCATATTTATTCGAACCGGACTAAACTGCTAACAAAAGAATTGGCATAATATTAAGCCAATAATATCCACAGGTATAAACAAAACAGGCTGATATCTCACTCCCAAGAGAGGAAAAGCAACTCCCAAACACCTCTGCCAAGGCCTGGATCATAAAGGCCACCCAGAACAGAAAATCAAAAGGTATCATAGGTTAAGAATCACGAACGCGCGCTTGCCGTTTGGCCGTCCCAATATGCGTGTTATGTACCTTGGTCGCAAACTTGAGACTGGTCAACGTCTCCGCTAGATGTGCCTGCAGCGGGCTGACCATGACAAACATGAGGGTCTTGGAGTTACCTCCCAATGAAAATTGGAGGAGATACGTAAGCTGCATACAAGTCAGTTACTTCGCTGCTGAATGATTGAGTCAAATATACGAACCTTGCTGTTCCTGTAGGGAATGTGTCCGCCCTCTTTGCCCTGTCCAAGGGCAGCGATAACATCTCCCAAACAGCTCAAGCTGCGGTTAATGTTTTGCGTCTCTTTCAAGCGTTCACCAGTCGCACCACTGTGGCTCAGACGTTCACTACCGGCCAAGTCAACCAAGTTGAGTGTTCCTTCGCTGCGTTCACCAGTAATGTCATTCTCACCGATCAACTTGAGAATGAAGACCGAGTGAGAGCGGGAGGATCGCTCGTTGGCCTTGGTAGCGGCAACAGAGCGGTTGGAGGCGGCCCGCTTTAGGATTGTCTCGACCATCTCAGGAGACTCCAACCGGACAGTAGTGACATCCGTGATGATCGTCTTCCCTCTCTGCATGTCGTGGCGGATATCCAGCTTCTTCTTGTCCAGTTCTTCGGGGTTACCAAGGAGGTCGTTCAAATTCTCGTTGTAAACCTCAACGAAGTTACCCTCCATAGTGTACCGCCAGCCCTTCTCTTCCAGGCCAGTAGCTGTCTCATAGATCTGGTGCACTGCACGAGGAATCATACCATCGAGCGAAGACATCGTGTACGTCTTTCCACTACCAGTCTGACCATAACAGAAAATGCACACGTTGTATCCGTCCAGGGCACTTTGGACAAGTTGGCTGATCTCATCGAAAACCTCGGCATTCTGCGTTGACGGCCCGAAAACACGATCGAATGAAAAGTTGCTGTTCTTTCTTGTGATTGTACCGAGGCTGCTCTTCTCTTCTGGGCCCAGTACGGCAATCTCCTTGCTGTCCTCTGTCTCGTCGGGATACTGAATCTGAGCCGAGCCAGTGGGAGGATCGGAAGGCAGCGATGGACGAACTCGACAAAACACGCGAATATTGCCTTTGAGTTCTTGCACCTGATTGTGAAGTTTCCTTCTCAGGGTCTCTTCCTTCCGCAGCTTGTCTTTCGTAGCGTTGGTCTCGGCCAGCGCATCCATCATCTGCTGGTTCAAGCGCTCAAAGGCCTGGGATTGCTCCTCTCGTCCAGATTCGAGAAATTCAATTCTTGCCTTGAGTGCGCGGACAGACGACTCCATTGTCACGCTATTGCTACTGGCTGTGTCCAGGTTCTGGCGAAGATCCCGGTTGCTCTTGCGCTCACGTTCAAGTTCCGCCCGCAGAGCTTGCATGTCATTATGAAGCGTCGCGATTTCTCGCTCTTTCCTCTCAAGCTCCATATTTGTCTTTTGCGTGTCAATGGCTGTCTGTGAGGTCATCTGACTGATTTCCCGAAGCCGAGCAGCTCTTTCGTCTTCCATTTCATGATCGAATCGTCGCTTTAGTTCACGGATCTCCTCTTGATGTTGCGAGGCCAATGATTCCAACTCCCTTTTAGCATCGAACCGCGCGGACTCCAGTTCTCTGCGCTGACGAGAGCCAATTTCGTCGATTTCCATCTCATGCTCTCTCTGCGCATCCTTCAGGGCATCCTCCGATGCTCCTAGTCGGACCTTGAGTGATTCCATCTCAACGCGAAGGGTCAGATTCATGTCGGTGATCTCCTTTCGAGAAGCCTCCAGCTCGCTGACTGTAAAATCCTCAGCTCAATGATGTCCAGCGTGCTTGTCGACAGGTTTCTTACCTCTAGATTTATACAGCTCGAGGGCTTCCTTCATGCCGGTACTCTCCTGTCCAGCTTGGCTCATCTTGGTCACAAAAGTGTTCATGAGATCCTCCATTGTCTTTTCGCGGCTTTCTTGATCCCACTCAGCACCTGTAGAAGAGTTAAATGTCTCAATCGTTGAATCTTTGGTAAGAAATTGCGGCAAAGGGGGTGGTTTTTTCCTAGCAGAGTGCTTTTTAGGAGACAGATTCTTATTCGGCGCAGCCTTGACTGGGGTAGTCGCGGCCGTGTTCGTCGAAGATAATGATCCAGCTGGCGCACCATGTGAAGGCAAAGGGGCAAAATTCGGTTTGTCAATGGGGGAGGGCTTCAGGTCCAACTCTTCCAGGGAAGTGCACAATAAAGTCTCAGGACTGGTATTGGGCCACTTCCGCAAAGCACGATTGCTTGACGTATCGCATGGGGCGCAAAAATATGCAGCAGAACGAACAAAGCACGGGGTGGGCCTACCCTTTCGTTTACCAAGTACAGTAGCGGCGGAGTCCTCCTCATCATGCGTATCCAAAGATGTCGCGGGGCGAGGGATGCCGTGGCCGTTCGGTCGTCGGGAGCTGGCGACAGAGTGTGAGCGAGACATGCTGGTGTGTGGTCGAGCAGGGGGAACCCCGGAGATGGTTCCTTTCGATCGCGCGGATGTGGTGGCTGATCTGGTCAAGGTGGATGATGAGTGCGAATTAGCGCGAGTGTGGACTCTAGTGGTGCTGTTGACGCGCGACGATGCTGCTCCGGCTCCGGCTCTGCCAACCTCGGGTGCTTGCGTAGTACTTCTGGGACGAGATGGTTCTGTGACTGTCAGCTTCTGTTCGCTGCTCCGCTTCCACAGCTCCTGACACATACGCGACAGGCTCGTAGTCTTGCTGGTTACGGCGCCCGCAATGGTACCGGGTTGCAAAAGACCGGAGCGGGCATTTGTCGAGGCCGGATTCATCTCTCTTAGACCAGTGGGGATTCGTGAACGGGCGGACGATCTGGACTGCATCTGCCACTTTGTATCAGCAGTCATCACTTGTCAAGTGCGATTGAAGGAATTCACCATATGGTCGTTCTCCATAGCTTCCACAGGCGGGCCAACTCGACCCCTGACAACTCGAGAATTTTTGCGTCAAAGGGAAGTACAATGGAAAGAAAAGCGCGTGTTATTGAATCAAAAAGGCAAAGACAATCAAATCCAAATCAGGCTGCTACCTGTTAGGGGCAGGACTGCATCGCAAGTCGGGACGTCAGCGGGTCGTTCGGTGCAGGTCGAGGCAGCGCAGGTGAGTTAGTTTATCACGACGGTTCGATTGCCGGCCTGCTTTGGTGGGCGTTTCTGGAGTGACGGCGGGCGGTAAACAAACTTGGCTGACTCAGCCGGGCCCGGCGGGGTGCGCCATTGCCCCATTGGGCTAGAGGTAATGTCGGTCATGAATACAACAATACCGTTCTTGATTTACTTGGTTTGTGACGAACTTGCGCTGATTGTTTATGAGTAGAGTATCGCTGGAGTAGACCGAGTTGTTTTTTTCAATTGTGACATTGCGCTTGCAGCATCTCCATTATCACTTCTGGCACTTCTATATTTTGCCAGTGTCCCTTATCTTCCACTCCTCCTGCTGAGCCACACTTGTTCATCTCTGGCCCGCACGCGGGTGTGTCCACTTCCCACTTCCACTTCTCTCTCCCTGACTGGCTCCGTAACGGCGGCTGCTTTCAGACCGACAAGCTTTCCCCGTTCCCCCCATTCAAGGTCATTGAGACCCTTTTATCTCTCCCAATTGCCTCCATTTCTTTCATTGTTATTTGTTTTTGTGCCATTTCTTTCCCCCTGTGACCCTCTCAACTACCAGCATCATGTCTGGTCGATTCGTGCGTTCCTCGAAATACCGTGAGCTCCCTCTTCCCCTCCCCACAGGCTGCCCG